TCCAGCTGTCACCCTGCCACTGTTGTCATCATACAATTAATGTATGTCTACTTACCTGGCAGATTGTGGAATACTGATTTAATTGCACTCAACTATGAAAAATCAAATTTCATAGCTTGTGATATTCCATTTAGCTATGAGCATTATTGTTGCAGGAATTTGTCTATGATTCCATACTAAGCGACATGGCAAGCAATTAGGGATCATATCATGATATTGTCCAAAAATTGGTTATTATTTTCACAAATGCTGTGGAGCGGGGATTTTGTTAGCTTTCTAGTTCAAATTGCAATTTTTGGCCATCAGTTTGCTGTTGATATCAGCCACAGAACAGATGGAGATTCAACCTTGTGTTGTAGCTGATGCTAAGGCCAGGAAGTGTGAGGTTAGTTTTACTCCTTTTTTAGCAATATTCCAGCAATATCACAGCAGGGACACCAGAAATGGGCTTCACACATTGTAACCATATGGAGAATCGAACCTGGGTCTTTGGCATGACAAGCGAATGCTTTAACCAGTGGCCTACCCCACCGCCCTGAGACCAGGAAGTACACGTGTTACCATAGCAATACCTAGTTCTTGAGTGACAGGACTCCTCTGCATGTATTTGTTTTTTGTTGTTTTACATCACACTCAACAATATTCCATAAGATAAGATAAGATAAAAAGAAAGCAGATAATTAGTGATAAAAAAGATGGAGGATTTAATATGCCCAAAATAAAAGGTATAATACAATCGCAAAAATTGTCCATGCTAAGACGCTTTCTTTCACACTCTGCTAGATGGTGTAATCTTTTTATTTTGAATCTCCCAAAGATAGGTTATAGTAATATATTTGTGTATAGTTGTCAACATTTGAGAGATAAAATTCTTCCTTTTATGAGAAATAATTACTACAAAGATGTCGTTTCAGCGTGGTGGGACTTTACATCTCAACTTGAATTAAACTCTGAAAAGATAATGATAATGAAATCCTTACTGTAAGTATATGGTATAATAGAAATATTATGGTAGAATGTGAAACGGTTTACTACAAAGAATGGTACGAGCACGGGGTTCGCTGGATGAATGATTTGATTGATAATAATGGTAATTTCTTTCAATTTGAAACGTTTCTAAAACAATTTGACATAAAAACAAATTTTCTCAAATATCATGGTCTTATTTGCTCCATTAAACAATATCTTCAAAAGATCAATACAGATTTAAAAGCAATAACACGCAAACCAGACCCTGTTCTACCTCGATAATTGCAACATCTCTGTGAGAATGTAAAAGAGACGCTATACTTGTACAAAACTCTAATTTCAGGTCTATGTTTAAAAAATCAACATGCATCAAAATGAGACTAAACATTTTATACGATGACATTATATCTAATGATTGGCCACTTGACAATACTATTCCCTTTAGATGTAAGAAAGATACTAGATTACAATGGTTCCAATACAGACTTTTACACCATATCTTGCCAACAAACATTTTTGTAGGAAAGATAGGATATAAAGACACTAGTAATAGCAGTTTTTGCTCTGAAGATATAGAAACAGCTATCCACTTATTCTGGTCTTGCAGCAAGGTAAACCATATATGGAAAAAACTTGAGAATTGGCTACATGCTAAAGCACAAATAAAACTCAAAATTGAAAAGAAACGTGATGCTTGGTTATCCAAATAAAAACAATGATCCAATAAATATCATCTTAATTCTCTTCAAGGAACTAATTTTTCGAAGTAAGTTTAATAACATAAGTTATGACAAGTTTTTCAACATAAACTGTTCAAAGATTATATGCTAACAAAGTGTTCGTCAATAATTAGTTGTAATATCAATGCCTTCTGGTCGTCATGTCATGATTTATTCTGCTAAAACTATTTGATTGTTCATCATGTATACTGGAATATCATTGTTAACTGTTTGTATAAAATGTTAAAAAATGCAACAATATAAAGAAATTATATTAAAAAAACAATATTCCAGCCATATGGTGGCAGTCTGTAAATAATTGAGTCTGGACCAGACAGTCCAGTGATCAACATCATGATCATAAACACAGTTGGGAACCGATGACATGTGTCAACCAAGTGGGTGAGCCTGACCACCTGATCCCGTCAGTTGCTTCGTACGACAAACTTGGGTTGCTGAAGACCAATTCTAACCCAGATCCTCACAGGTACCTCAGTCCATTTACAATTTGTAGTATGTTTTACATACACTATGCTTGTATATAAAATGTCTGTTTAATCTGCCTCTCTGCTGGGACACTGATGAGTTCTGAGAAATTGGGAATTCTTTATTCAAATTGGAAATTTTTCACTGTAATTTGGTGTAGACTGGGGGCTGAACATCAGCCTCAAAATCTTGATAAATCCCTCCTTGTATATTTCTGGACACTCACACCATTGTAGGTTCCTAATATTATACACATGTATTCAAGTAAAATAAAAGTTATGCTTAAAAGATATTGTTATTCATATCAATTAATGTGTTCTAGTAAAATAAAAAGTTATGTGCTTAAAAGATATTAAACCAACTTTTAACCCAGTCTGTAAGTAATGTTTATAAGCACTGGGTACTAAACCCAAAAGTAATTATTTTCTGTTTATTATAAAATTGGGTTTAACGTCGCTTGAGAATATTTTGATATGACGGTAGCCTAATGGTTAAAGCGTTCACTCATCACGCTAAAGACCTGGGTTCGATTCCCCACATGGGTACAATGTGTGAAGCCCATTTCTGGTGTCCACTGCCGTGATATTGCTGGAATATTGCTAAAAGCGGTGTAGAAATTAAACTCACTTACTCTTTATTATTATAAATCTGTTTACTGTAGACACAGCAGTTTATAAAGCATATATGCTTTGTGTAACTGTTATCAAAAACGTTTTTGTTTCATGGACATCTGTTTGTTGTTTCATGCTTCACTCAGCAAATTTGGTACTGGGTATAAAAAAAGTGTGTACTTCTATTGCACTAAATTCCAGCGAATACAAACAGACAATTCATTAATATCCTGGATAACCCAAGCTGCCTGTGAGGCTCTAGAATGTTATAGTCACATGACTTATCCCGCCGGGTACCCATTTTCTGCTTGGTGAACAAAGGTAATTTTGAACAAACTCACTTGCCTAAGGTGAGACCACATGTATCACATGTGCTTCGTTGTGGGGCAGGACTGAAGTCCTAGAAACTCTCTGGAGTCAAGCTCACGAACATGGTTACCCATTCAAGAACTCTCCGTGCTCAGCGTTGCTTAACGTCAACTGATTAGTGACCTGAGCATTATGCACAGGACCACATGAGCATTAGCTGTGAGCAATATTCCAGCAATATCACTGCTTCGGAAATCAGATTTGGGGTTCTCACATTGTACCCATGTTAGAATCGCACCAAGGTCTTACATGCAACGAATGATTCAACCATCGATCCCCCTTACCCTCCATCCACACTCGGCAGATATTTCCGTTATTTGATGACGGTCTGTAAATAATAGAATCAGACAATCCAGTGATTGACATCATGAGCATCGATCAACACTTTGGGTTACAATGACATGCATCGACCTTGTCAGCGAGCCTGATTAGCCAATCTTGTTAGTCATCTCTTACGACAAACACCACCTTTTTTTTTACCTTTACACTAAATCTTTTCTCTTCTGCTTGGTCTCAAATTTAGTAATTATGGTGCTCCTGTTTAACAAGACTTCAGCGTGCCTGATGGCAGTAGCTCTCTGTTCAGTGTTTCTATGGAAAGGGCAAAGTCACCATTCAGCAAGCTGTCGCCATTCAGCAAGTATTTTGATGTTTGGGAGACAGGAATCACTGAACCATAAACATGATAAACAAGTGTGTCAGTCAGCGTAACCCAAGTGTGTCAGTCAGCGTAACCCGATAAAGACAACATGTATGGGTAACAACGTCTTTAATGTAGTGAACACCAGCAATGTATAGAATGTATCAAGTAGGCCTTAACAGTGAGAGTTGGGTGAATGATACCAACACAATACGTACACACTGTTAGTCTTCCCCCAGCTGTATATAGCTGCACCATGATCGCACGGTTGTCAATCTTACATGACAACAGTGTAAGGATCTGTTGTGAAAATCATAGTCTCCAGTATATCTAAGCGACAATAAGTTTGTGTCAGTGGGAAATGTTGGTTGTTTAGAGGTACACATAGCAATATTCCTGAGAGACAGGATGGTGGTCTGTAAAGAAGCGAGTCTGGAGCAGACAGTCCAGTGATTTACACATTTTAGATATGATGACAATGCCTCATCCAAGCCAGACGCCAGGATATTTGATTCTGTGCACCTCCCCTTTCTCAAAAAGCTGCATCCACCCCTGCTGAAGACCAGTCCTTTAAATGATTTGGGTCAGTATGACCCAGTGGTGTAAAGGACCTGTGGAAGGTCCGGGTTATAATTGATATTCAGTAACCCATGCTTGTCGTAAGAGGAACGGGATCGGGTGGTCAGGCTCACTGACTTGGTAGCCACATGTCATCATATCCCAATTGCGTTGATCAATGTTCATGCTGTTGAACCCTGGATTGTCTGGTCCAGACTCGATTATTTACAGACCATCACCATATAGCTGGGATATTGTTGAGTGCGGCGTAAAGCTAAACTCACTCATTCAGTGGTGTAAAGGGAACAGTTTGCTGGCTTTGGTGTTTCTCAACAGGTCTGACCTGTCCCACAACAAACTGACAAACAACAAGATTACTAGTCTAAGCAAAATTAAACCAGAAATTCTCTTGTTTATATTGATAGTGAATAGTGATCAGTTGTTTTGGTATCCTATCCATAAACAGTTGTTTGATTGGCATTCTGGAAGTTGGTAAGTGACAAAACATGAAAAAGCCTGATAACAGTGTAAGAATCTACATCTAAACACCACTATGTTCAATAAACAAGAGATTGTTATCCATAAAGATGTATACATATATGCAAATAGATTTTAATTTTTGTTCAAATGTTATTTTTTCCCTTGCAGGCTAAAGGAAACAAATTTCTGCAAATCCTGAACATAATTGAAAAATGGAAACAACCAAATGTGCCAACCCTGACTCTGAGGGAGAGAGACCTGTGACAGACAGGAATTCCAAAATTTCTGATCGATCATGTAACACTGAAGGTGACCAATCGGAGCCTGGCACAGACATTCCAGCTGAACCTGGTTCCTGTCACAATGTATCTTCAGAAGAAGAGGAGGTGACTGATGATTCCGGGATCCCGGTAGACCGGGGCTGGTCATGGATGATTGTAGTAGGTGAGGAAGTCAAAATGTCTAATAAAAGTCATCAAATTATAATTTAAACTATTTAAGTGTCCATTTCATTTTGTGGACGTTTGGTAGCCTAGTGGTTAAACCATTCACCTGTCTCACTGTTTCAAATCATAGCATGTGTGCCATGTGTGAAGCCTGTTTCTGGGTTCCTTTGCCAGGATATGACAGGAATAATATTAGAAAATGCAGCGCTGATTAAAACTATGTACAATGAGCTACATCTATTTCAGACAGTGGAAGTGAACAAACTTGACACTTCAGACATTTAAAAACTATAACCTCTTAAGGAAGGGTGTTTTATGTGTGTCAACTTCTTTATTGTGAGGAACACATTTCGTAGTATATCCTTACTCTCTCTCTCTCTCTCTCTCTGACCCATGAAGATAGGTCTTCAGCAACCCATGCTTGCCACAAAAGGTGACTATGCTTGTCGTCATCGGTTCCCAATTGCCCAGATCGATGCTCATGCTGTTGATCACTGGATTGTCTGGTCCAGACTCGATTATTTACAGACCGAATATTACTGAGTGCTCTCTCTCTCTCTCTCTCTCTCTCTCTCTCTCTCTCTCTCTCTCTCTCTCTCTCTCTCTCTCTCTCTCTCTCTCTCTCTCTCTCTTTCTTTCTCTCTCTCTGTTATACATGTCACTCTCTCTCTTAAACTCAAACCATCATCCAAGTAGTTACAATTACACCACATATTGACAAGAGTAAACACTGCCGTCCCAAAATGTATAACATTTGGAATAAAAATAATCTGATTATGTTATAGATAATTAGTTTCAAATTCTCATGTCATAGATATCAAAATCTCTTCCCAATTTTTGACAACTGACATATTAAAGAGTAAATTTCACCTTTTGCACAGTTCTGATTGTTTGTATGATGGTTTGGTGAGTGTGCTTGTGAAAATTTAATATTTTGACTGATTTTCATTCACCATATTTCTGGAGCATTAAGCATTGTGTACATCAACTTTAAAGGCCTGCTGCTTCAGAGAGAAGGATTTTATTAACACTTCTGCAAATTTGAAAAAAACATGTCCATGTTTTTCAGAAGAGATCAGTGCAATGTCTGCATTTTGTACCTTTAGAAAATATAGTCTACTTACTTTACTGAACCCTGTGTAAAGTGGAAGATTTTGGGGGAATGTTGAAACAGTTCAGCTTTATGTTATGTGTGTGTTGGGTGGGGTGGGGTGGGGTGGGGTTTTTTTACAAATTATTAAATCTTGGATTTTTTTCATTTCATTTAAATTTCACCTCTGAAGACAGTCCAGTCTTGTTTAAGTCTAAAGTAATTTTGTTTTCTCATTTCTGTGTTTTTATTGATCAGTATGGTAAACCACAGATTCAATTCCCCACATGGGTACAATGTGTGAGCCTATTTCTGGTGTTCACTGCTGTGATATTGCTGGAATATTGCTAAGGCTGCGTAAACTAAACTCACTCACTGGAAAACCAACTTTGAAATAGCAACAAATCGTCATACTAAATCGTCATTCCAGGTTGTTTCATCATGCACATATTCTGTGTGGGCGGCATCAAGTCATTCGGCATCTTCTTTGTGGAGCTGGAGGAAAGATTTGAGACGTCATCAAAAGCACTTGGATTTGTACAAGCAGTGGCGAGCACATTGATGTTGGGCCTAGGTGAGACATACTGATGTTTTATGTAAGGCCTAGGTGAGAAAATGGATGTTTTTTATAAGGCCAAGGTGAGATATACTGATGTTTATGTAAGGCCAAGGTGAGAAAATGGATGTTTTTTATAAGGCCAAGGTGAGACATACTGATGTTTTATGTAAGGCCAAGGTGAGAAAATGGATGTTTTTTATAAGGCCAAGGTGAGACATACTGATGTTTTATGTAAGGCCAAGGTGAGACATACTGATGTTTTATGTAAGGCCAAGTTGAGACATACTGATGTTTTATGTAAGGCCAAGGTGAGACATACTGATGTTTTATGTAAGACTAAGGTGAGACATACTGATGTTTTATGTAAGGCCAAGGTGAGACATACTGATGTTTTATGTAAGGCCAAGGTGAGACATACTGATGTTTTATGTAAGGCCAAGGTGAGACATACTGATGTTTTATGTAAGGCCAAGGTGAGACATACTGATGTTTTATGTAATGCCAAGGTGGTGAGACATACTGATGTTTTATGTAAGGCCAAGGTGAGACATACTGATGTTTTATGTAAGGCCAAGGTGAGACATACTGATGTTTTATGTAAGGCCAAGGTGAGACATACTGATGTTTTATGTAAGGCCAAGGTGAGACATACTGATGTTTTATGTAAGGCCAAGTTGAGACATACTGATGTTTTATGTAAGGCCAAGGTGAGACATACTGATGTTTTATGTAAGACTAAGGTGAGACATACTGATGTTTTATGTAAGACCAAGGTGAGACATACTGATGTTTTATGTTTGAGAAAATATGTAAGGCCAAGGTGAGACATACTGATGTTTTATGTAAGGTCTAGGTGAGACATACTGATGTTTTATGTAAGGCCAAGGTGAGACATACTGATGTTTTATGTAAGGCCAAGGTGAGACATACTGATGTTTTATGTCAGGCCAAGGTGAGACATACTGATGTTTTATGTAAGGCCAAGGTGAGACATACTGATGTTTTATGTAAGGCCAAGGTGAGACATACTGATGTTTTATGTAAGGCCAAGGTGAGACATACTGATGTTTTATGTAAGGCCAAGGTGAGACATACTGATGTTTTATGTAAGACTAAGGTGAGACATACTGATGTTTTATGTAAGACCAAGGTGAGACATACTGATGTTTTATGTAAGGCCAAGGTGAGACATACTGATGTTTTATGTAAGACTAAGGTGAGACATACTGATGTTTTATGTAAGACCAAGGTGAGACATACTGATGTTTTATGTAAGGCCAAGTTGAGACAAACTGATGTTTTATGTAAGGCCTAGGTGAGACATACTGATGTTTTATGTAAGGCCTAGGTGAGAAAATGGATGTTTTTTATAAGGCCAAGGTGAGATATACTGATGTTTATGTAAGGCCAAGGTGAGAAAATGGATGTTTTTTTATAAGGCCAAGTTGAGACATACTGATGTTTTATGTAAGGCCAAGGTGAGACATACTGATGTTTTATGTAAGGCCAAGGTGAGACATACTGATGTTTTATGTAAGGCCAAGGTGAGACATACTGATGTTTTATGTAAGGCCAAGGTGAGACATACTGATGTTTTATGTAAGGCCAAGGTGAGACATACTGATGTTTTATGTAAGGCCAAGTTGAGACATACTGATGTTTTATGTAAGGCCAAGGTGAGACATACTGATGTTTTATGTAAGGCCAAGGTGAGACATACTGATGTTTTATGTAAGGCCAAGTTGAGACATACTGATGTTTTATGTAAGGCCTAGGTGAGACATACTGATGTTTTATGTAAGGCCAAGGTGAGACATATTGATGTTTTATGTAAGGCCAAGGTGAGACATACTGATGTTTTATGTAAGGCCTAGGTGAGACATACTGATGTTTTATGTAAGGCCAAGGTGAGAAAATGGATGTTTTTTATAAGGCCAAGGTGAGATATACTGATGTTTATGTAAGGCCAAGGTGAGAAAATTGATGTTTTTTATAAGGCCAAGGTGAGATAAACTTACTCAGGTGACATATTAGTGTAATAAAATAGAACAGATTATTATCTAATGTTTGTGATGCAAATAAAAGATTTATACTTGGTACCACATTTAATGTTTAACAGCTCTATTGCAATAGACACATGAAATATATCCTAACCGGTTTGTAAACACTAAATGAAATATATAGTAGTACTTTTAAAGGGCCACTGATCCAGAGCGATTAATTTTTCTCGCCAGCAGTCTAATTACGAAACCTAGCTGCAAACTGGTCAGCCCCTGCTCCCTCGACCGTGACAGACACAGAGACTGGGCTACTGTCCACCTTGGCAGAATTTCTTCAACCTAATCAGTGGGACATTAGGAAGGGTGGATGCCCATCAGATGTCGTTATTTGAAACTATCCCCGGCAGTTCTTGTCTGATTGTAATAAAGTATCCCAGCAGTGTAGGCTTTTTCAGATTTTCAAATGTTTGGATGGTATAGTGACTGATCCAATTTGATCCTATTTCTGTGTTTTTTACCTCAATATTTACTCATGCAAAAATATGATGTCTATTACGTATGCTATGATATCAAAAACACACATTTGATATATTTGAATCCATAGACTAAACAACCCCTTTGCCATTGCAAAATAAATCTAAAATTTTACTTAGGTACATACTTAGGTATATACAGTTTTTAACTAAGTACACAGCAAATGCTGATATATATTTCTTATGTAACAATGAAGTTCCGTTCGTATCCTCAAAACAGTGTCGGCCCATAAGTTGTTTTTTCAGGCAATCAAACTTGCAATACAGTGATTACTACTCTCTTGCTGTAACCCTTGCTTGGTGGTAAACCTACACATGTTATTTGTCATCATTCACTTGATGGTCAGGTAATGAATTTATAACAGGTATAATTAGTGATAACACCACTCAGATTACCCGACAAAGGTTCCCATTTGGCATTTCTTGTGTCTGGAGTAAATACTCATCATTATAAATTTAGGTCTGATGTGGCAAATGTATTACATCTTATGTAATATGCGCATGGAAGTGCAGTAAGAGGAATTATCAGCTGAGTAACAGAACAAATATCGATCAAAGGATTAACAGATAACACGCTGATTGATTAATTGCTTTTATCCTGCTCAGCGGATTTGTCAAAAGGTAGTGTTTATGTATGTAGATTTACTAATCTATACTGAATACACCCTGTCGTAAAGTGCCTGTGTAAACACAATGCCCTTCCTTCAAAGGATTAACCGCCAATACATTGATTGATTGCTCATTATTGGCTAACTAAATTACATTTTTAAAGAATGGCGGACATCATGCAATTAGTTGCCAGGTGTGCTATCTTGGGTGACCAATGAGACTATACACCAATGTGAAAAACCTGAAACGATAGATCACTTTTTCGCATATTAGACTGTTGAAAGACACATGACTTGGAACAGGATACTTTGTCAGCTGCAGATGAATGGCATCTCATTCCTTTATGTGGATATTGATGGATACATTCCCCGAACAAGGTAATAGCCTGACATTTAAGGCTGTGAAATATAACTGGTTTACCAGTATTTACCGGTTCAGTCATGAAAACGATACGTATTGCGATACGCTGATTGAAAACCGGTATTTTAATATGCATTAGGAAAACTTTGTAACACTCGAAAATCTTCGGATATTTCCGTTTTTCACACCGGAAGTCTTGGGATTGTTGTAAAATGGTGACACCCAACAACGAACAAATACTAGGACAAAGGTTTAAGCATGGCAGCATTTGGGTTGAAAAAGTTCATGGTTTTTAGTTTGTCATGATTAAAAGTTGTTATTAAAGCTTAATCAAGCATATTGAATTTGTTGTGTTATTTCACATCGCAATATGAAAATTCTCTGCAATACCCACCCCTACTGATATTGTTGCTATAACTTTAGTCTGTTTTAATTTTAATATTTGCATTTTGTTTTTATTTATTTGTTACAGCATTCAACAGAATCATTTTTTTCGCCCTGAAGTGTAATGAGACAGACAACATACACTAGGTTGCACTTAGGGCGTGTGTGTGAAATATGATACACGTTGGCAATCTATAAAATGTCTATATATTACAATCATGTTATAAATTCACTAAGTATAAGCAGATCGAGTGCATTTTATTAAGTTTCAAAATGCATACAAATATGATAGTAAACTAATTAGGATTGTAAGACAAAATATAAAGACGTACATTGACTTTGTTATTTCAGTCCTGGTGGATGGTTAAACTTAAAATGTTTTCATTTATTATGAAAATAATGCCATTTAGTTCAACATTCAGATTGACTAATAGTGAACCCAAGCTCACTATTCTCCCAAAGAAACCAAATTATTCATCAAGTCTACATAATTTTACAAAATCAACATAAGATTATCGAGTAAAAAACATTTCATCTTTGTTGATCAGTCTATACTTATACTATCAATTGCGCATGAGGGTGGCGCAGCAGAGGTAACGAACCAGTCATGAATTCTGGGATATCATCCGGGTACTCATTGGAGAAAAACAATAACAAAAGCAACAACCAGTCCACGGAAATTGCTCTGTATCAGTGTCCCTTGAACCCTAGTATTTCGTCTCCTGACGTACCTGCTATGTCTCTTCAGGTCCTGTCTCTAATGCACTGAGTGTGCGCTTCACGTGCCGGACGGTTGTCATCATTGGTGGATTGTTGATTGGGACTGGCTTCATCGGCACTGCCTTCATCCCTACCTTCCCCTGGCTCTACGTCACATATGGACTAATGGCAGGTAATAACACATACTGTGCTATATACACTTGATACACATGTGTTGTATCAGCTTATATTCTATGCTAACAAGTAATACATATACACATGTGTGTAGGGGGGGGGTCAAAAACTAAACTCTGAAATACTTTTTCTTCAATTCTTCTCTGGTGTACATAGTATAGCTTTCAACAAGTACTTCACTGCACTTTAACTAGATAAAATGAAGAGATCAAATGAAGAGGACTATAAAAAAAAAATTCTTGAAGTACAGTAACACTATTTTATAAATGTGTAATGTAACATTAAATGGCTGTATTGCGTAATTATTTATTGTAATGGGGATGTTGACAGTAACTTCTGTGAGATATAACCCTCTTATTGCATAACTACTGTTAAATGTCACTACTGGTAACTCATCTAGGGTATAACACTCATATTGCATAGATGTGTAATCTTATAGGGATAATGCCATTAAACCGTCTAGGTATTTAAAACTTATACATGTATTGCAGTAATGTTTATTATAACAGGAATAAGAGTAATGTGTGTTCTGGTTTCACCTTTTTTATTTCATTAGTTATCTACATGGAACTACTGGCAAACAAGGATGAGTTGAGCACCGACCTGACAATTGACCTGTATTAGCATGTATGAATGCCGCCCACTGGCGCTTGCCATTGTTAGCGAAGGGGCCCCAGGTTGTCTGCGATCAAGTGTAGTGCGGCTTGCTACACTGACGTGAGAGTCTTATGAGCAAGGCGTGTGCAGCTACGCGTGGAATCAATTTCATCGTCATGCAATGCACGTGCACTAGCCTACATCTGCTCTAACTTTCACAAACCAAATGGGTTTGCTCATTGCCGTGCAGCACCTACTTCTCGTACAGGCGTTCTCTGCGCCGGTCCAACTTATCCTTGTTTGCCAGTATAAATGTAACATGATGCATTGTCTCTCTGTGTTTCAGGCATGGGGTTTGGGTTGAGCTACGCCCCTTGTGTAGTGATGGTGGGGCATCACTTCGTCAAGCGCCGGTCTTTAGCCAATGGCATCTCAGTGGCAGGTAGTGGTGTGGGTCAGTTCGTGCTGCCGAACCTGGTCCGCTACCTGCTGAATGAGTACAGCTACCAAGGATGTATGTTAATTATCGGGGGATTGATGCTCAATGTTTGTGTCTGTGGAGCACTCATGCGGCCATTATCAAGTTACAAGAAAAAGAAGAAAGTGGAGACTTTGAATCAAAAAACAGGACAAGGGGCTTCTGGATAGTTCTTTTGAACAGAAGGACCTCAGTGGAAGTTTAACTGAAAAGAATAGACTCCTTGATAAGAGAGTTGCGCAGTTGACCAATAGTAATCAGGAAATGACAGGGTCAAGTCATTCCTTAGAGTCTGGATCTGCTGACCGCTATTCACGCCACAAGAATCGCCTGATTGACAGCAAAATGCGATTCTTCTCGGAGGATGTTCCTGAATTGCATGGATCCAAGCATTCTCTCGACAGCAAACGACAGCCACCCCAGAGATTTTACTCAGTCGAGGAGGCTGCCCCTCCTTCTCCAGTGCGTCATCGCCGATTGCGACATTTATCAGAGACCAAAAGCGAAACATCGCTATTTGCCAGCACAGGTGATCTTGTGATTGCTTCATTACAAAATATACCAGGATCAGTGGTAGAAATCGTTGAAACTGAAGAACCTGTGTCAAAATATCGCTGTTGTGATCTGTGTCGTGTGTCTGAAGCCAAATCAAAATCAAGTGTGCCACTGTTTGACTGGCAACTTCTTGTGAATCCAGTCTTCCTGGTGTATTTATGCTCGGTTTTAATAGCCAATTTCGGTTATCCGAATGTTTTCATCATGCTAGCATCATACTGTGAAGAGTTACATCTTGACAAAGACACGGCAGCCTTGTTGTTTTCATTAATTGGATTATCCGACTTGTGTGGACGATTATTTTTTGGTTGGTTTTCCGACCTGAAATTTTTTCCAAGAAGGTATGGATTTCTTGGAACCATGGCGATCAGTGGCATACTGTCAATATTGTTACCACTTATAAAATATTATGAAATGTTAGTATTCTATTGCTGCACGTATGGCTTCTTCGCTGGATCATACATAGCCCTTATAGCAGTGGTACTTGTGGATTGTTTAGGGATTGAAAAACTGTCCAGTGCTTTTGGATTCACGACGCTGTCGATGTCTATATCCCTGCTGATTGGGCCTCCAATAGTTGGTAAGTTTCACAACAAAAATGTCATCATTAAAATCTTGATATATGCCTTTGTGATTGGCCATCCACTGTATATACCGATAATTGTTTTGCTGGCTGCATGTTACGATTTTGGTATCTTTTGGCAATTTTGCAGTTACTATGGTAATTTAGGATAACATTAGAAATTGAAAACACTGAAAATTTTACAGTTCTGATATAATTGAAAGTAATCAATTCAACTAGACATTCGGTTCAACATATCATACTTTAAACACCAGTGGTTGACTGTAGCAGTCTGAGACTATAGCCGTTAGTCTGAAGCCGAGTCTAGTAAAATATGTGCTGGTCAGCAGGATACTAGTATATGTGTGTAGAGCCTATAAACTGAAATTTAATTGGACTGAAATGAAATACCCAAAAGAATTGAGTAGACTCAAAATTATCTAAAATTACTAAGTTACCTTTTATAGCAGAGAGAAATTTGTTTCTGTTTCAGGTGGTATACGAGACCAGAATCAGTCTTGGGACCTATCGTTCGTATTCTCCGGTATTTCAGGGATTCTGGGAGCATGCATCGTACTCCTTGAACCCCTGGCTCAGAGGAGGTTGAAAGCAGTAGAGAAAAGGAAATTTGACAAAGAACTTGAGCTTGAAGCTGTGAAAACAGAAGAAACCTTGTTAGAGAAAAGTTGATGTTGGCTTGAGTTGATTAGGATAGAAGGGTTTATTTTGGACAGATGTTTATGTAGTATTTTCAACATAGGACTTAATTTTTAACTCACCTTTCCTCATGGTAGTGTGCATATTACCTTTGCTCATCCGATACAAAGATTGGAAACGTGATCTATAAGTATCCTTGTTGAATGCTATCATGAAACTGGTGACGTGTCGATCACCTGCACGGGATGCTCGGCGTTCTCCCAAGCGCGCAACAGAGTGTGACGCTCAGCGTTCTTTACCTAGACGTTCCCCTCGGCGCTCCCGTTCTCCCAGGCGCTCTCCTGTACGGGATGTTCGGCGCTCCTCGCCTCGTCATTCCCCTCGGTGTTCAACTAGGCGCTCTCCTCGGGGTTCACCACGGCGCTCACCTCAGCTTTCACCTCGGAGACAACTTTCACCTCTTCATTGGCGTTCGCGTTCCCGATCACCTTTGTTTAGGTCCCGGGATTCCTCGTCTCTTGTGTCGGAGGCTCAGTTTGTTCCAGATTACGAGGAAGAAGACAACCAGGGTCTGACTCATTTGGGCATGGAGAGTGTTTACGCCTGGATAGCTGACAGACTTGTCACTTGCCCGTCTCCAGGGTTGGATATTCCTCGTGCTACCTCCATTTGAGATGAACCAGAGCTCCTTCTGCCACCGCATCCCATGGTTGCTGATGCCATTGCTTCACTTGATGAGGATTTCCAAAAGTTATCTCTCAATCCTTCCATCAAGCCTGCTAAACATCGCCGTCAGGATTACAAGGTGCATTCTTTTCACTTTGTGGATTTTGGCGCTACACAAGATGAAGCGGCCAAACGATTGTTGGATGCTTCTCAAGCTCAGTACAAGGTCCCAGATGCCAAGTTGTTCGCGATTGATACAGAACTCTGTTGAACCTTGAAGCCCGGAATTACTGGCCATGCTGAAAGCTTTATCAGAAGTCGAAGTTCCGCCCTCCAGCTTGGGATCTGAAAGTGGTTTTACAACACCTTCGTGGACGTCCTTATGAGCCTTTGTCTGTGGCCTCCTACAAGGACAATATAGAACAAACTTTATGGATAACAACTTCTTTTTATTTGTGAGTGCGACGTTTCGATACAGATTCTTGTACCGTTGTCAAGCATAATGGAACATGAAGAAGGGGGAAGTGTATATATACTGGATGTAACAATGTAACAAAGAAAACAACATAATTAACATAATTGGCTAGGCAGAAAGCTGATGAAGCCAGAGAGAAGACAAAGGACAGGCGTGGAAGCCAATGATGTACAAATAATAATGAGATGTTTATACAGCAGAGTTTATACAGTAGATTGGGCTTGGTGGATGAGTGCATCATAAGTGGGATGGAATGAAGTATCCTTGGTCTCGGGTTGATGGTGGGCTTTGGCATTTGATGTGGATGGCTTCGTGAGCTTGCGCTTTAGTGAAGTCTGTTTGTTTGTTAGAGAGAATGGTGATGTCAGACCACTCTATTTGATGATTGGGGCTTGCTTTGATGTGGTCGAAATGGCTGATTTGCTGTCGGAATTGGTAACAGAGGTCTGATGTTCTTTCACTTTCGGGTGTTGATGGGTCGGGAAGTTTAAGCACCTATGTAGCTCTGCCCACAATCACAGTTTATTTTGTAGATGACACATTTTGGGTTGTTGTTCTTTACGGTGGCGGGTTTTCTTCCATTGGCGTGGAGAATGTTGTTAAGGTTGGAGGACGCGTAGAAGGTGGTATCTATGCAAGCTTGTTGTTTTAGGAGGCGGCTGATTTGATGTGACGGTTTGCCAATGTAGGGGATGGATATCTTGATGGGGGCTGAATCTGGTTTGGGTCTTTTGGTAGGAGATTATGTTAATTATGTTGTTTTCTTTGTTACATTGTTACATCCAGTATATATACACTTCCCCCTTCTTCATGTTCCATTATGCTTGACAACGGTACAAGAATCTGTATCGAAACGTCGCACTCACGAATAAAAAGAAGTTGTTATCCATAAAGTTTGTTCTATATTGTACTTCCCAACTTCTAAAATGCCACTCAAAGAAGTTACTCCTACAAGGACTTGTCATGGGAAAACAGCTTTTCTTTTGGCGCTTGCTACTGCGGCCAGAGTTAGTGAGCTTCACGCCATAGATGTCACCAGCATTAGGTTTGAACAGACTCGTCACGGTTCCGTCCATTTGGCTCTTCTCTGTGACTTCATTGCCAAGAACCAGTTGCCTGGTCAAACGGATCGTATGTTTGTCATCCCACCTTTAATTCTATAGTTGGCAGTGACGACCGATGAACTTTTATTCAGGGCCCTTAAAGAGTACATCAAGCAGTCAGCAGTCAGAAGGCGTGAAACACCTTTTTATTCCGTTTTCGTCTGCGTCGAAGGGTGAGGTCAACAGAAATACCATAGCTTTGTGGCTTCGCTCGACTATCCTGGCAGCTTATGACTCCGCTGGTTTGCCTCACCCAACCGCCAACAACTCGCACGAGATCCGGGCCTTAGCATCCACCATGGCTCTGCACAGAAACTGCTCGGTCCCCACTATTATGGAAGGTTGCTTTTGGAAGTCTAACACAGTCTTCGCCGGCCATTATCTCCGGCATCTGGCAGTCCAGGATGTACAGGGGCTTCAGTCCTTTGGCCCGCTCGTGGTAGCTTAGCAACTGACGCGGCCCTCTTCTCAATAGGTGCTTATTCTTTTTGTCTTATCATCTTAGTGATAGTTTTAAGGTTAACCCACGTTCTCTCGTGTTGTGTTTTCCTTATCAGGGGTTCTACCGGTGGTTTACTGTTCTTGTTTCAACGATTTTAGTTCAACAACAAGACAGTTTCCATGTCCCCCATGTAAATATTTTAGATATTTAAATACTTACCTTACCTCATGGCGTCTTACGCCCTCCCTACGATGGTTCATCTCCTCCCCACTTTGGACTCCGCTCGGACTTCAGGCTTCGGATAAAGTGACGTGTTCTCGTTGTCACATGACGGGATTCGGGGGGCGTGCTTCTGCTCGCCGGACGAGATCGACACGTCACCAGTTTCATAATAGCATTCAACAAGGATACTTATAGATCACGTTTCCAATCTTGGTATCGGATGAGCAAAGGTAATATGCACATTACCATGAGGTAAGGTATGTATTTATATATCTAAAATATTTAGATTTTAATAAATCTGTTGATGAGAACTGATAATGTTGTAATGAAATGTGTGAATATTTTACTGTAGTCATTTGTTTTAAGAATATGAAAACTTGCCACACGGTATGCTTAACACATGACTATACGTGATGACTTACACTGAAATACAGTATTAGTAGTTGTTTGTTTATTTTAGTCTCATCTAGTACATACAGATAAACATAAATTTATAGAGCTGTGCATGCACAAGCCGCCAGAAGGCTATAAAGACTTAAAAATCATTAAAATACATGATATGGATAAAATCATTAAAATATATTGCATAAACTTATACAGTTGAAATAAAAAACATGACACACACACACGCAGACACGCGCACGCATGTGCACAACCACAGTTAAATTCACACGAAGAACCGTGGCTGTATTACATAACCATGTTTACTTCTGGGGATTCAATATACCAGGGCTGGCTATCGATAGAGATCGATTATCAATACATATCAGAGATATAACTTTGAGCAAAAATGCTAAAACTATATCTGAAAGAAATGTATATATTTCACATCACATGTGACATGATTTTGCTTGGATTATGAACAAAACTGCATTCTGAACATAATTTAGAAGCAGACCATAATGTCTTATATTTGCATATTGTGAGAGAGAATTAAAACTTTTTTCTATCACAAAAGTTAATGTATGACATTATCGATAACACAATTTTCATATTGATAGTAATGATTTTTCCTATTGACATTACTTCAGATTATCAATCATTTTAGCCAGCCCAACGATATACGTGTTCCACATCAGCCCAAGAAGAGGCATGGTGACAGTTTTTATTTCTTGTTTTAAGAATCCGCATGGTGACAGTTTTGTGTATGTCAGAACACTGAAACAAGCACTAGTCATCTGGAGGTAGTGAGTGAACGCTGCTCCGTAGACAGGCAGAAGCTTTCTAGGTGTATTTCAGCAACTTGTGTTTTGGGCAATATGAACTAAGGCTTCAATAACTCTACAATGAGGCGAATATGATACATGCATTTCATGAATTATGGGTAACACATACACATATAAGGTAAAAAGTAATTGTTGAATTATTCAGTAAAACGATAACAAAAGAATTATTTGACGTTTTTGACCATGTGGAAAGTGTCAGTTTTTCCCAACAATGACCAGTGACCACATTACAACTGAGTAAATAATAATGTTGGTTAAAATACTGCCCACATTGGATATAGTCCATTTTGAAATACTTTTCATTTTGATAGATTACATGTAAATGCAAGTAAAAACACTTCATATTTTTGAATCATGAATATTCAGTTTAAGTCATCACAAGTAACAAATTGAATTCATGAAATTATACGGGTCGATTCATAGTTGTTTTGAGTCCATCACGAGTGTGTTTTACGTTCTGCTTGCTGCATTTTATGGCTGTTCCTTTATTTATTTCCATGAGTATATTTACAGTCAATCAATTTGTCAGGAGACAGGTAGGAATGGCTCGATGTTATGAGTGAATAAGGTCAGTAACTGGAATGTTTTTTCTCGGTCCAAAAACACAGTTTTGACCTCATTCAAAGTCTATGTTTTATTATATGAAGTAGAAACGAGCAGATTAAAACTATCAAAGTATTTATGCTTGCAGAATGTTGGGGATTCCAGCAAACAGAGACGTCTGATTGGCTGAGCTTTGAGTAATTCCCCTTCTATTTTTAGTAACTCAGTCACCTCCATAAATCCTCAGACCTGTCTTAAGTCAAAAAGTGTCTCCGTCGACTGCCGTGTCAACTTCAAGACAATGGCTTCTGGATGCTGTTGTGAATGGACCTTGGCAACTTGTCTAGAGACAGTTCTGTTATAGTCAGTCATTATGTTGAGTTATACTGGGGTTTACAAGTGTTCTTTATTGTATTTGTATTGTGCCGTGAATTATAGACAATTATGTTACTATCAGCTTATACATTTGATTATGAACACAGGGACAGTGTCATAATAACTGATATACTTGATTATTACGTTTATACATAAGGCCAGACCAATTTTGTTTCTTGTTTTACGAATCCACCGATCATATTTTTTCAAGAATAGGAAAAAAATAAAAATACATTGTCCCAGCTCGAAAAATAAAATCCTAATGTTAATATATACGAGAGCGAGACTTGAACTACGCAAGGCAGTTTGTTGGACACTGAAACACAGGTAAATGTCCTCATAGATTTTAACCTGAATTATCTAACAATATTTGTGTTAGAAATCAATGCTGCGAGAACCTCAGCGAGTGTGAACTTGAGAAACAATGCCTTTGAAAAACTCATGTGGGTTTTGCTTAGAGTGGTGTTCTTTCTTTTTGCCTCCTGCCTTTAGGTTTTCTGAGGACAAAAATCTGTAAAACAAGAAATAAAATTGGTCTGGCCTAAGAATCAAAATATGCCTGCAACTTGCATTTATTATGGTAACTTACGTGTTATGTTTTTATGTTGTTCTTCATTCTTTTACCTAAAATACTTTTATAAAGTTTTAGTTTTTGTTGCGTTTTATGAAACAAAGCTTTATTAAAAAAATTTTTACAAAGCTGAAAATTGTGTTAGTGCCCGTTGACACCACTGACTCAACAAGTCAATATTTATAATGTAACTTGTCAATGACAATCAGTTCCACATGGAATTAGTTCCGAGTGTAGCAAATATTGCCAATATATATGTACTGTATATTGCCGTGTAAAAGGCAAGCGTTGGGTGCGTAACATTAGAGGTGTTTGAATGTGGATTGCCTTGCACGGGATAGAAGAACTCTCATTTTGTTCTAGCTGAACCATATTCAGGTTGAAGTTCTATGAACATGAATACATGACATGTTTTTATGGATAACAGGTTCTTTTTATTCTTTATACGACATTACTGAGTTAATACTTGCTCCTTCATCAGATGATGTTATGATGCCAGGTGAAGGAGCTAGAATGAGCTCTGAAATGCCGTATAAAGAATAAAAAGAAGTAGGGCTGTAACGATACATCGAACTATCAAGGCATTGCAATTGTCGAGGCTCTGATAGCAATTAATCAATGGTAGAAACGAAAAACTATCGATGCATTGCAATTGTCGAGTCTCTGATAGCAATTAATCAAAGGTAGAAACGAAAAACTATCGATGCATCGATAGTATGTGTGACTATCGATAGTTTAGTAATTGACTTCCGATGATAAATGCGCAGTGCAACTTACAGGAAGTACCAGATTCGTTCACTATAGAGTGCAGACTTGCAGCTTCATGGAGTTTGTTGAGTCTGGGTTTCAAGTTTCTTGTCAGTTGTTAAATTGACTAAAACTACTTTAACTTGTTTTTATTTCACATAAACTATACGTTCATTTGAGAAATGACTTCATATGAGACAATTCAAGGAGAAAAAGACTATTGCAATGGTTGTTTCACCCTCAATAGTCACCCTTAAAAAGAAGTGGTTATCCATAGTAACGTGTCATGTATTCACATCCAGGCTCCACTGGCAGTGTGGACAGGCCTCGGATGCCCTGATATTTGACATTTGTTTAGTGCTGATGTATATATGGAGTATATTATTTAACATCAATTTTGAAAGGTTTTTACACAGGCTTATACGTGTGGTCAGTTTATAAACAGCAATATACAATCTCTTCCAAACTTAGTTACAACTGTCCAATAGGAGTACTTGTCCAAGAGGAAATTTTACACAGGAAGAATCTCACTCCAGGAACATAATCTTTGGTAATATCTCTTGACCCTCGGATTGATGATGTGAACCATTTGGTTAATGCTTTCGCTCGTCACGCTGAAGAACCAGGTTGGATTCCCCACATGGGTACAATGAGTGAAGCCCATTTCTGGTGTCCCCTGTCATGGTTGCTGGAATATTGGTAATAGAAGTGTAAAACTAAAACCTCCATTCACTCTCTTGACCGAAGGGGCGGTGGGGTAGCCTAGCGGTTAAAGCGTTTGCTCGTCAAGCTGAAGATCCGGGTTCGAATCCCCACATGGGTACAATGTGTGAAGCCCATTTCTGGTGTCCCCCGCTGTGATATTGCTGGAATATTGCTAAAAGCGGCGTAAAACCATACTCACTCACTCTTGACCGAAGATCACCTGCTCAATCTTGGGTATATCCTAGTGTAATGTGATATATTATCACACTTTGACACCCTGGCTAGTAGTGGAGGTGTGTATTTGAAACATTTTGAGACAACCCAGCCTTCCTTAAGAAACAGTAATGGCTTATATCATTAGTATGTAGTAACAAAAATTGTATCTGTGGCCTAAAACCAAAGCCCATTTCTGGTGTCCCCTGCTGTGAGAAATAGGATTTAAATCAGTCAGTCAGTGTCATGGCTTGAAAACAAAGTCTGTTTCAGTGGCATTACTTTCTCAGGCATATTTTGAATCATTATTATCATTATTTGTATCATTATTTATGATGAGTCAGTAAGTGAGTCACAGCGGTCACAACATGCATGGAACACCTGAAATGGGCTTCACACGCTTTTACTTCAATTATAAAACTGGTAGCAGTTTCATGACATACCTTGGCTGTTTCACATTTTGCTCAAAACCTTACTGAAAACCTTAACACAGACATACAGACATGACATAAACATCTTCTTTAAAGACTTAATGTTATGAGAGATTTTTTAAACAGAAATATATATATATATGTTGTATTTTGTTGTTAATAAAGTTTTGTAAAAGCTGGCACATCTTGGGTACTTCTTCTGTCATGTGGTTAAGTTGATAGACAGGTCACGCATAGAGTTGACAGACTCTATAGCTAACCCTCTTAAATATAGTCAAAAACTCTGGTGTCAAAGTTGGAGGGTTGGTTGGTTGTTTAATGCTGCACTTAGCAATATTCCAGCTCTATGGCAGTGGTCTGTTAAAATATAACCTGTAGAAGACAATCCAGTGAACAACCTCATGAGCATGTATATACGCAGTTAGGACAGATGACATGTGTCAACCCAGTCAGCAAGCCTGACCACCCGATCCCATTAGTCCTCTCTTATGACAAGCATGGACTGCTGAAGATCAATTCTAACGTCGATCTTCACGGGTTGAAAATCTTAAAGGACAACTTCATTTCTGGATTCATGGGGCATTGGTCAGAGCTGCAATGACTGATTCAGGTCTAGACCTAGTCTGAAATGTTCATGAAAGCAAATGCCACCGAGGTACAGCGACCATGTAAAGTTGAAGGGACCTATTACATGTAGATACAGCGAGTTATCCAATGTTTTACTCAACAGTGAATTGCTGACTAAATAGGGAGTACATAGCTTGTTCAGCACAACAGATTGATCGCAGAACACTGTGACCACACACTGACTGAACTTGCATCTTTCAAAAGCCAGTTAAAGACTCATCTTTTACCAAAGCTTACCTTTAGCTCCAGCTGTGGACTCAGAGCTTTGGGTAAGAATCCATTGTTACATCGATTCTGGCGCCATAGAAGTATTTGTATGTATGTATGACTGTACCAGTATCTCTGGGCAATGGGATAGCCTAGTGGTTAAAGTGTTTGCTCATCATGCTGAAGACCCGGTTCGATTCCCCACATGGGTACAATTTCTGGCGTTGTGTCCCCTGCTGTGAGTGAGTGAGTGTGTGAAGCATCGATCCCATTTCTAACAAGATGTCCCCTACCCGCTTCACGGGTCCCCCTGCTGTGATGTTGCTAAAAGCGGTGTAAAACTAAACTAACTCACTAACTCACCAGTATCTCTAGAGGAATGTTTGGGTAATGATTGTTATACCATTGTCAAGCCAGAGTTACAGGACTATGGTATAATGATCAATACAGTACATCACCATGATACATAGATGGTATAATAACGAGGTAGTAATCCATACGTTTCTACTTTGTGATTGGTCAACTTCTAGGCTCAAGGATACACTTTGAAGAAGAGAGTTTACTGTATGTGTTGGCTTATGATAATGACAATCAACACTGCTGGCTTATAATGATGATCAACACTGTTGGCTTATAATGATGATCAACACTGCTGGCGTTGATGATGATCAACACTGCTGACTTATAATGATGATCAACACTGCTGGCTTATAATGATGATCAACACTGCTGGCTTATAATGATGATCAACACTGCTGGCTTATAATGATGATCAACACTGCTGGCTTATAATGATGATCAACACTGCTGGCTTATAATGATGATCAACACTGCTGGCTTATAATGATGATCAACACTGCTGGCGCAACACTATGCTGGCTTATATGATGATCAACACTGCTGGCTTATAATGATGATCAACACTGCTGGCTTATAATGATGATCAACACTGCTGGCTTATAATGATGATCAACACTGCTGGCTTTAATGATGATCAACACTGTTTCAGCTTAGTATGATAATGACAATCAACACTTAAGTATGTTCCAGTCATTCCCTTTATTGCCTCACTAGAAATGTTACAATAAAACACAACATTCTTCTTCTAGCCATGAAAGTGCAGTGATACATGGACTGTTGCTATGACAATGGTTGTCATAGAAACTAGCATGGTGAAAGGTTTCCTAAAACTATTGATAGGATAGTCCATTAACCTGTCAGTATTAGTTTCTGTATTCATAACATCAACCTGTTCTGTAAAATCATACTAAAATTCATGTGTAAAACTTTGACTTGATAAAATGTTGAATTAGTAGGGATTGTTAAAATTTAAGCGCATGAGAAAGATATGAGACAATAATCATTGTTTCAGCTATTTGGATTATAAAATATAATCACATTCTTTATCAATGCTCATTTTTTCTCTCCTGTTTATTATCAAAGAATATTTTCTGGGAAACTTAATGTTATTTTATTAATTCTGTTATTTATGTTGTACTAATTAGTACAAGCCGAATATGATGATCATATCAGTGATAAACCAAAGTCTGTGTACAATGGGAATAAGAGCTGTACCATTTGTTTCATAGAAACAATTCAGTCAACAGTAAATATGTCCCAATTGATAAACTTAATTCAAACACACTTTAGTTACCATGGTTACAATATCAATGTTTAATATTTTCTAAAATATCAAGTCAACTAAACTTACTATTCATGTTTTTTCCTTTATGTCTATTAATACACAGAACACCATTAGAAAATATATGAACATTCATATAATATAGACAAACCCACAGAACACACAGCTCAATCCTGTTGGCTCGGTTTCTTTGCTATCTCAGAAATGGTACGTTAGTTTCCTCAGTGACTGAATCATTTACCTGAAGGTCAGATCAAACTGGTTAACTTGGAGAAACACATGGTGGCAAAAACAGAATATCTGGTGACATGATGAGTATTGATGGCAATCCAAAGCATACGGTTTAAGTTTAAAATATCCTGACACAAACTGGCTTTGGTAAGTACAAATATCTCAGTTGGAGTCAAGGAGCAACTTCTACTAAGTAATCCTGACACTCAAACAGACAAACAGGAACAGCCTAAAGACCCTCTTGGGCTTGAATCATGACATTTTTGTTCCACGGCTCTCGGCGAGTGAGTTGGGTTCAAGCCTGGTGTGAACTGTAATTCAGTTCAGATGCTCGATGGGAATTTAGAAGTTGGCAGGTAATTCAGCAATTCACACCGTGGATGTCAACCACTTCTAGGAGACAGGGGAGGTGGAGGACAAAATAAAGGATCACATTCTGTCTGAATCTGAACACATAACTATGATCATAGTATCCTGCCATGGACAGGGGACGCTACTCTGTATCAGGAGTTATGGCACTCAGGGCTCCTCATGTCCCTTTGACGATAAATAAGGAATTGTACCTTTATATGCCATAATAATATCTACAAATGTTGCAACTCCTCTCAAAACAACCTTATAATCATGTTTTCAAATTACCCAAGATAATACCCTAGATAATGTTGCACATTATTGTTCAAACAGCTAACATGCAAGACATTGCAACCTAAGTCCAGGGTGTATAACCATAACCACATGCCCTGGATTGCCAAGGATGGTATGATGAAATCTGACAATCGGCTATAAACATGACTCTGTGTCAACATGACAGACTAACTTGTCCACATAACACTGGTGAAGCTAAAGATCTGTTGTTCACAACACATCATGTGACTGTCATTACACAAGACACAGGCAACATGCAATGAACTCTAAGTCACACTTATACTCAAATATCACCCGTTCATGAGGGATGTCCTTGTGACAGACAACAATGATAAATATGGTCAATCAACACTTCATGGGCACAGTTCCCAAACCATCCTCAATAAACAAGGGTATTAGTCTCCGTTAAATAAAAACCCAGGACTCATTATCCACCATAGTTTCATTTCGGAAGTGACGTCAACACTTCGATAATGCCTCACTGAGATATCATTAGTTATTTGATTGAGTAGTCAAGCAATCAGCTCAAAACAATGCTATGGTGAGGCCCAGGGTATTTATAACAGAAAGGAAATATCATACCCTGGATTAGTGAAGATGCCACTCCACAGTCTGCTGCCATTTTCAAGTCTCAATCGAGGTGTACGTAACGACATGTAAAACTCAGATGCTGTCTCTCAGTGATTAGCCTGGCCAATAACTGGCAGATTAATCTACATCATAAAACGTCAACAATCTGGATTTTAACATTGTAAGGAACCAAGCATTATATATTCTAGAGAAATGGTTGACGCATATTAAAGTAAATATTTTGTTCCAGAAAATAGTCGGTTGCTGCACATCCTACTTGTGAAAGGATATTATACCCAGTAAATCCAGTTGTGCAGCTTCTGTCCCACATTACTCTGATATAAATGGAAATAAATACATCCTGTTTCCTTGTCTCTTCAAAATAGTCGAAAATGAAGTTAATAAACCCAAACAAAACCATAAGCAAGTACATTTTTCATAATTACAAATATTTAAATCTGCAGAAAGTCTGACCATGATTAAATAAACCTAAACTTTGTCCCAAAGTATTTAATATTGGTGTGACTCTTGTTGACATTGTAATGAGGTCAAACAAATATTAATGTTTCAATTATTGTTTACATAATTTATTTTTTAACATGCAAATGTAAAGAGAACACCTGATTCAAGCACATCACTACAGCTAATTTGTCATGCAAAACAATTAGTTCTTCTTTTACTTACTTATCAGCTCTTCGTTGAGACAGGATGAAAAACAGCATTATATATTTATGACAAAATATTTGTTCAATAACAGGAAACAATTTCTAAAATTAATGATCAGTTATTAAACTATTTGCAATATTTACATATGTTGTTGATCTTAGTTGTTACGTGAATCGTTCATAAACAGTTGTAGGTTTGTTGCCATCACGAAGGAAGATGTTCTTGGTCACAACTTGTTGATTGTATGTATGGCCATTGAATGGTTAATGAGGTGAAGGAACCAATCAGACGATAGATAGAAATTTACAGCCAATCACAACTCCTGATACATATACTTGATGGATGTTGGATCAAGGCACAAAACAAGGTGATATTTTTGTTAACAACTACATGAAATATGAGCATGACTAGTGATTCAACAGTGTGCATAGTGAGAATGTGCGAGTTATCTCCCTTTGTAGTGCCAGCAAACGAGACCAGATGCTGCTAAAACTAAACCCATCCATTGATGCAGTAATGTTCTAGATAGGACTTGAATATTTTTACAGTGCAGAATTTCAGGTTCATTTTTTGGTAAAAAAATGTTGATAACTGAATTTGGGGGTTTTGAAAACCGAATAAAATAGATATTCTACAAATAATCTTTGATATTCTTCAACTCTGTTGGGTTGGAGTGAGTGAGTTAAGATTTTAAGTCACATCGGCAATATTTCAGCCATATTGTGACCTGTTGGGTTGGAGAAACTGCAAAAAACACTTTAGGGCAAGCATGTTTTGGGGCAAAACAATTTTAAAATATTTCAGTTATATCACAGAGTGTCAACTTGATGTGTGAAGAAAGCCTGAATGCATGTTTTGGGCCTTTACCACTTTGGCGAAAGAAAGGCATACAGGTTGTTGATAGACCAGGGTGGATTTGAACCCAAGATTTGTGGATCCAGGCTCAGCCAAGGAAAAATATTCTTCATGTTAAAAGGACATTTAAAACATTAAAATATCTTAGATCTCTTTGGTGAATCCAGCCTGTACAGAATGTTGATGACAAATCTAAGAATCATACTTATTTTGAATCTTGGCTTTGTACCCACACGTCGTCTGAAGTGGCAACAGAGGTTTGTCAGAGAAACTGAGCTAATAATAATACTAATAAGTTTTACATGTAATTACAAATAAATAAGTCTTTTTCTAATAGAGACCCTTTACATAACTGGAATCATTCAGGATTCAAACCCACTACGATTCAGTTCACAAAATTGTCAGCGACTTAAGACAACAGAGCCAAGCGATCTGGTTTTACTTTAGAGTATGGTTGGGCAACGTATACATGTTTACGTAAAGTCTAGAAAGTCAAATGTGTATTTTTAAATATTGATTGAAATGTGTCTGGATAGTAATGTATTTTCTGATAAATATGTCTGAAATAAACCTTTCAGAACTTACAAAAAATTGAAGTATGTATGAAATGCCAATAATATCAGCACCATGTAAACATGGTTTTCATGAACATTTGGAACATCCAAATCATGAACCTCTGACTTTTGGGTCTACCACTCAGATAATAACAAGTTTCTTGAGTTGTTTGTAAATACAAAATAATGACCAAAGTATCGAAATTATCTGGTTCTTGCATCAAATGGACAGCCACATAAAAGCGATAAAGCATACACAGTCTGCTTGTGGAAAACAATGATCGTGAAATATTGTCTCGAATATGAACACAACAAATCATAATAATAGAGACAGTTTGTAAAGCTTAGAACTGATTCCAGAATTTCCGAAAATACAAGTGCCAAGAATCGGTATGTAGAAAATTATATCCATTTCTTCAATGTTTACTGAAACTATTGTTCAATAAGTTAAATGAATATTTGCAAACTTATTTATGAAATAATTAGAAAGACTTGGAATATGGAAATCAATAAATGACCAGAGCAGATTTCTGGCCAAATAGGATTTAATTTTGTTTGTCTTAATTCCAGAAAGAACTTTATGTTGGTCCTTCTAAATGAATTCTTCATATTTCCATTTTCAATGTGTCTGATGATGGATATATCAAATTTGATCACCATGATATGGCAGTCTGAAATTTAGCACAATGACTGATGATCCTCTACTGACTCTGAGATCAACCAAACAATAGCGAGACAATCGGCAATTGTTCACAAATAGTACCAGTAAATGTTGACACACACAATACATTTCAATTCCTGCCAACCAAATTCTTGAAAAGTGCTGCCTTAATTTGAGTGCATAACAGAAAAATAGAGACAGAAGCTTTCTGAGTGATTTCTTTCACAATACAGAGAAACAGTCATATCTGTGACAGGTAAAGCTATATGTGACATCCGTGAAAGACCACAGAAGACTGGCCTACCAAGGAGGATAGATTTGCTTTCCACTTATTGTTCAATGTTAATTGGCATTTTTCCCATAACCTACATATTCCCAACTATAACACAGGTTGATAGTGACAAATTTTGATCAATAACACATACCCCATAAAGTTTATCAGAATCAATGTGGAAAATGTATTCATCAAAAACTTCATTTTTTCCAATTTAATCAAAGGCTTGCATGGGTTTCTTATACTTGATCTGAATTCTTTTCATGGCTTAAAAATGCGAATAGCTAATTTGAAAGAGAAAAAATGTGGTTTTACTACACATTTATTAAATTGTCAATATATCTCTGGGTCAAATTTGGTCAAAACCATTCTTTGGATTTGACAGATGCTTAGCAATGTTTTCTGATCTGAGGCATTTAACATTTTATTCATTCAATAAATAAAACAAATATAAGAATAACACCCTTTAAAACCTTCATATTTCCTAATTTGGGGGTACTGTAAGTAAAGTACATGAAATTTCACAATTATTTGTTTACTTTTCCCCTTTACATGCTTTGAATGCTTTCATTTGTTTGTTTTCTCAAACTTCTCAATACAGATATGCTGTTCTATGTATTCAGTTTTGGAAATCAACTTTCCTGAAAAAAAGTCCAAAGTCAATTTTTCACAACTGTAAATATATTTTTATTCACGCAAATTCCTCAGGCTCAAAATGCACCCAAATAAAAACTTCCAAAATCAATACAAAAGAAAAAGTGTCCTTTTCAAATATCTGATTGACAATAGTGAAACTCTCACATTCACATATATATTAAGAAGTATACATCGTAAATAGTCAAAGGCCAAACAAAATGTATTTTGTAAAATTATAAAAGTAATTCTTCTGACAAGGCTTGTCAGTTTTTATCATAATTAAAAACAGGTTCAATTCTTGTAAATATTTTATTACATTTAAAAAGCAATCTGAAATCTGTTCATTTTTGTGAGGCCTGAGAGACAAGTATAATATCCATTTGACTACATACTACCAGCAAGTCCACTACATGAATATAAACAATCACACCTTACCACACACCTACATACCAGTTTATTGGATATTTTTACAAAAAAAACAATATCATAGAACATGACAAACAGTCAAAAAAGTATGAATAGTAAAACTGAGAAAAAATATTCCTGACTCGGAAACATGTTGATGAAGAGTTGAAATGCAATGACGGCTTGATCTAGAGTCGAAGTACAGCTACAGTGGCAGCAATGGGTGTGGCTTAGAATGTGGGCGGGGCTAGGGGAGGGGCAAACACATCCACCATAGCTTGGTATGCAACCAATCAGATTCCATTTGTGAGAGTGATAACACAGTCTCACGTGTGGTAGAATGGGCCATTAAAGTATTTTGTTTTCATTTCCTAATTTTACTGTTTACAGCAACATATTTCTAAATTAAATATTTTTGGTACTTTTTAACTTCAAACATAGCAGCTTTATAGCCTTTCAAACACAAAACAGAAATGTATTTTAAATATTTGAAAACATAAATTCCTCATAGTTCTTACTGAAATAAACTTCACATCTTTTTTTTAAAATTAAAACTAGTGTGACCATATCCAGTCTTCTTGAAAACAGTAAATACTTGGTTTAATACAATATCACATTATGATGGTTTGGTTTTGTTCAGATATCAAGAAGTCCCATCTAACCAATCACAGCCAAGTTAACATCGGGTGATGGTTGCCATGGATACAAAATGGCAGCCATTGAAACAAACATCATTCACTGCAATGTGTTGTTGACAGCAACAAATCAGCTCATTTACCCAACAATTATAACCAATAGAAGAGGGATCATTTACACTTATGAATATGACAACAAAGAGTTCAGTTATTCTTACAAAATAAATATCTTGATAGTGTTTCTTTGGTGTCAATGATTACATGAGATACTATTTGGCAGGCTTAACCTCCTGGTGTTGCATAGTTTGATCAACAATGGTCCCTGTAGAGACAGTATGGTGGGAGCTAATACAGGGGGGATTAGGGCAGTGTCATGAATTATCAGATTATCATCCATCATTTTAGATGCGTGCTGTTTCAACAGCTTGATATGTATACTCCCTAGGAAGCTGAGAATTATATTGGAGTGAACACTGATCCAATGTTGTAGCACCATGAACATTCACTTGGTGAATGGAATCTAATGCATCATTAATAGATTTATCATTATAATTTTTATCATTATTAAACTCAATTTCGAGTAAATGTGTTCTGAAAATTAGAAAATGACTAATGAAGCAAATTTAATTAAATATGTTTTCCTCAATTTTCAAGTTAAATATGGATAGTGATCTTATAATTAATTCCCACTGCCCTAACATAGCGCGGTTTGTCAGTATCAGGCAGTATTAGAAATACCTCAGTACTCCCATATGAGAACCACTTTGTTAGTTATCTGCTAAACTGAAGGCAAAATCTAGTAATATTATGTTGGTTTCAAACTTAACTCATAAAAAACACATCGTTCAACAAATATCTTCAAAAAGTACAAAATGAGGAGTTCCGATTGCATTTATTTTTTTCAAAAGCATTTTTAAAATTTCAACATCAGTAGTCAATTTTGGGTTACACCGTAAGTTCCAAAAATCCTTCAATAGGAGCTGATTCCGTTTATCATAAATAAACGGTTATATTTAAATTACAGTAAGACCACAAAGTACTTTCTCAATGCCTTGAATGACACATCAATTAATAGCATTCGCATAGGATTGTAATTCAAATCTAAAAAAACTGACCTCATGTGTTCTTATGAAACCAAAAGAATATTACCCTTACAGATAATTAGAGAAAAAGTACATAAAAATGAGATTCATTACCATTTGCAGATACTTTTAGAAAAGATTTGCAATATGTATTCAAACTTAATTGGCATTCTTGTAATGCCAAACTCCTCATAAAGGAATAATGCCCCTTGAAGTTCAAAACATCAGATACTTTTGATATTTTTCCCAAACAATCTCAGGGCTCGATGTAACTATATAAAACATGCACCGATGGAACCTATCATTGAAAAATGAAAATTATCACATAAAAATCATGAAAAAATATTTAGCTACTTGTCTGACATCTAATTTCCCATATGACATGGTTCTTTGAACACACTTAATACCTCTAAGCTGTATTTACCATACTACATCACTAATCTCCGTGACATGACACAGTTACCAGAGGTCTCAGATTTTACGTATTTATTCAAGTTTATGCATATGTGTTCTTACTTCGATCAATTTATGGGGCCAGATTGCAACCTGGTTTTGCCTGGCGCAACTAATTTTTCATGTCAACCTGAATCGAGTTCTTCTAATCGAGCCCTGAATCTAACCCAAACAACTTTATCTAATCCAATCTAATTTTCTAATTCTAATGTGTCAAACATACAGTTGAGCACATATTGCAAACAATAATTTTCCAAGATTAATTCTCTACATTCCCACCAATACACACATGGGTGTAATTATCGCCATTTATCACATTCTGCAAATAAGTTGTTCCGACTGAGAAAACGTCTGCTCAGCGATAACAAGATGACAAGATTGTAGTTTGTAAGCCTGCCTTTTGGTGAACGTACAAAATGGCCGCCACTGTAGACTGTACTGCTGCTTCATCATGCATGGCCGTTCTGCTTTTGTGCCACATAGTCACTATAACTAACAGTAATTTTTTCACTACGATATCGGATCAGTCGTATACTTTTCCGAATTTCTGCATTCACTGGACCCTTGAAACCGCCTTTGTGAAGAAGAGAGTCAATGGTTTGAATTCGGTCCCAGCCTAAAAATCAAAATATTGTATTAAACATAAAAGTTAATCGGATTATTTCAGCTGAAACAGGATATGTGACAGTCTGTAAATATAGAACTAGTATCTGCTATGATACACACATATAAAGTATTTTTTCTGTGAATATTGGCGAAAACAAATATAATATGTTTTGTCCATATTTGTATAGTTTCACTTAAAATCTAAGCTGAAATTCATTCATAAATAACGAGTCCCTTCGAATTGGGTTGACAAAATGGCAGAAATGCAGGAGTGACTCTTCACTCACATTGTTATCTCCCCTGTATCCATGACGACAAAATGGTGACTGAGCTTGCTGTGCAATATATACTCAAGTATGGAGAGTGAGGGAATGAGATGGGTTGATTGGGTTTCCATCACTGAATGTCATCTTGATATGAGAAAAAAGTATTGCACGTCTTAAACATTTACCACTTTCGTGACGCCCCATGAGCACAGAGGCGTTGACACACCTTGAAACATCATCTCACAAAAACCAAACGGGACACAAAGCTGCACATTTATTTGCAACGTCTTACACAACTGGGTCACTCATACTCACATTTGATGATAAAAATATCACAATCATCATATTTTATTTTATTTGGCACAAGACCCTTGCTCTAGTTTCTCAGTGAATACCAGAAACCAGGTGGTTTAGTTTCCAAACACTGATTGCACTGCAAATGCACAGCTCAAAAGATAACATGGGCCACCAGTGCCCGAGTTGAGCTTGAGTTGTGCCCGAGTTGAGCTTGAGTTGTGCCCGAGTTGAGCTTGAGTTGTGCCCCTGTTGGCAAGGAAGCATTTGATATCATAGATTAATTTGATGGCAATGTAGCATTCCAGTCCCTCTGGGGATTCTGGGGAAATATATTTGGTCCCTGGCAACCTGTGCTGGTTGGACATGGAAATTTCATAAATAAGGTGGCCTGACTCAGTGATGGGGTTGATTGTGTATCGTGTATGGACTTCACGCATGATAGTAATCAAACCTGGGTCATTTCGAGCATAATTTGATGTCAGAGATAAAAAAGCAAATATCTAGAGACAGCTCCAACAACCAGTTGTAACACAACTTTTGCAAAAATATTCTTATTTCCATGTAGTGATATTTTCACTGAGGTCTCAGACATTATGGTTACTTTGGACTCATATGATGTGAGGTCGTGGTGTGCAGGCGCGGCATGAGGTCGTGGTGTGCAGGCGCAAGTGAAGATGGTGTGAGGGCGTGGTGTGAGGACATGGTATGAGAGTGTGGTGTGTAGGTGCGGTGTGAGGGCGAGATGTGCAGGCGCGATGTGAGGAAGTGTGCAGGCGCAGTGTGAGGGCGTATGCAGGCATGGTATGAGGGCGTAGTGTGCAGGCATGGTGTGCAAGCATGGTGTGAGGGCATGGTGTGCAAATGCAGTATAAGGACATGGTGTGCAGGCGTTGTGAGAGGATGTGGTGTGCAGGCGCAGTGTGAGGACGTGGTATGAGGATGTGGTGTGAGCACATGGTCTGCAGGTTGTGGGCGTGGGTGTGAGGACATGGTGTGAGGGGCGTGGTGTGAGGACGTGGTGTGAGGATGTGGTGGCATGGTGATGTGAGGACATGGTGTGAGGACGTGGTGGTGTGCAGGCATGGTGAGAGGGGACGGTGAGGACATGGTGTGGGTGGTGTGCAGGCATGATGGACATGGTGTGCAGGCATGATGTGAGGATGTGGTGTGCAGGCATGATGTGAGGGCGTGGTGTGAGGAGGACATGGTGTGCAGGCGCGTGGTGTGCAGGCATGATGTGAGGGCGTGGTGTGCAGGCATGGTGAGAGGACGTGGTGTGAGGACATGGTGTGAGCACATGGTGCAGGCATGGTGCAGGCATGATGTGAGGACGTGGTGTGAGGACATGGTGTGGACATGGTGTGAGGACATGGTGTGCAGGCATGATGTGAGGGCGTGGTGTGAGGACATGGTGTGCAGAAGCGATGTGAGGACATGGTGTGCAGGCATGGTGTGAGGCATGGTGAGAGGACGTGTTGTGAGGACATGGTGTACAGGCATGACGAGAGGAAATGGTGTGAGGACGTGGTGTGAGGATGTGGTGTGCAGGCGTGATGTGAGGACATGGTGTGAGGACGTGGTGTGAGGACATGGTGTGAGGACATGGTGTGAGGACGTGGTGTGCAGGCGTGGTGAGAGGGTGTAGGCATGAGTGTGAGGACATGGTGTGCAGGCATGATGTGAGGACATGGTGTGCAGGCGTGGTGAAAGACGTGTTACGAGGACATGGTGTGCAGGCGTGATGTGAGGATGTGGTGTGCAGGCATAATGTGAAGACGTGGTGTGAGGACATGGTGTGCAGGCGTGGTGAGAGGACGTGGTGAGAGAACGTGGTGTGAGGACGTGGTGAGAGAATGTGGTGTGAGGACGTGGTGTGCAGGCGTGATGTGAGGACGCGTGGTGTGAGGACGCAGTGTGCAGGCGTGGTGTGAGGACATGGCGTGCAGGCGTGATGTGAGGACGTGGTGTGAGGACATGCAGGCATGATGTGAGGGCGTGGTGTGAGGACATGGTGTGCAGGCATGATGTGAGGATGTGGTGTGAGGACATGGTGTGCAGGCATGATGTGAGGAGGGTGTGGGCATGATGTGAGGACATGGTGTGCAGGCGTGGTGAGGACATGGTTTGCAGGCGTGATGTGAGGACATGATGTGAGACATGGTGTGCAGGCATGATGTGAGGGCGTGGTGTGAGGACGTGGTGAGGACATGGTGTGCAGGCGCGTGATGTGAGGACGTGGTGTGCAGGCATGATGTGCAGGCATGGTGAGAGGACATGGTGTGAGGACATGGTGTGAGGACATGGTTTGCAGGCGTGATGTGAGGAGGACATGGTGTGAGGGACATGGTGCAGGTGTGATGTGAGGACATGTGTGAGGACATGTGAGGACATGGTTTGCAGGCGTGATGTGAGGACGTGGTGTGAGGACATGCTGTGCAGGCGTGGTGAGGACATGGTGTGAGGGACATGGTGTGCAGGCGTGATGTGAGGACGTGGTGTGAGGACATGGTGTGCAGGCGTGATGTGAGGACGAGGCAGTGTGAGGACAGGACATGATGTGAGGGCGTGGTGTGAGGACATGGTGTGCAGGCGTGATGTGAGGACGAGGTGTGAGGACATGGTTTGCAGGCGTGATGTGAGGACATGGTGTGTGGACGTGGGTAGCAGGTGAGGTGTGAGGGCATAGTGTGCAGGCGCGGTGTGAGGACGCGGTGTGAGGACATGGTGTGCAGACGGGTTGCAATGCCACTAGTCAGATTAAAATTCCTTGTCACATGACTAAACTGATCTGGTAGATTGGGATATGGACTACAGTCATGGTATATGGACAACTTTCATGGGATATGGACTACTGCGACTTTATCTACCTTGTTCTACAGCCACCTCTGGTAAGTAGGTGGCAGTTTTCTTGTTCCCCTTTTCATTGATGAACTCGATTCTGATGCCGTGTACGCCCACCTGGAAACATATTAGATACCACATCCTATCATTCACTGGCTCATAACTTGGTTTGGATTGGTCAAAAAGAAATTGCAAATTAGGTTATAAGAACTCCTCAACTTAAATTCAGTCATTAAAACCACATTGCTTTTTAACTAAGCTCCCATGCAGCTTCAGTTTGATCTGCATAGTATATATAGACATACAGATGGATACCATAACGGTCAGGAATGTGAGCGGACAAGTGTTAGCAGTGGTCAGTGATGGGTAATATAAAGCACTGCTTATGTTTGATAAAAATAATGTTTGGTTTGGTTTGGTTGTTGTTTAATGCCGCACACAGTCATATTCCAGCTATATGGCGCGGTCTGCCAATAATCGAGTCTGGACCAGACAATCAAGTGATCAACAGCATGAGCATTGATCTACAATGTGTCAACCATATCAGTGAGCCTGGCCACCCGACCCCCATTTTGAATTATTATATTGTTAACATAGAGTGTCATGCATAGTCAGGTGACTGTGGAAGATGTCATGTGACCCACCTCCCAGTCTAGGTAGTCAGCAGCGTCCTCGAAGTGGGTAAGTATTGACACGGAGCAGTGGAGTTTGGGGAAATCCTCCTTCTGGATTGGCTGAAATCGGCTATCTTTCATGGCACTGAAACATATCTCCCATATTTACCTCCAGGACAAATCAGCCATCTTTCATATTTCCCTACTTACATAGAGAACAAATCGGCCATCTTTCATGGCACTGCAACATTTCACCCACAATCACCTAGTGGACAAATCAAGCTAACTTTCATAGCACAGAAACATATCGACCATATTTACCTAATGGACAAATCAGCCATCTTTCATAGCACTGAAACATTGCTCTCATATGAAAAGATGGCTCAGTCATCTAAATGTATTTGACAAAAGCTTGATACAGACAAGCAACAATGGTTCATAAAATGTGTATTACTTCCCTTTGTTTGTATACAGAGTAAGCAAAATGCTTCACATGTTCTCGGGACGTATTTTCAAATTTGTTATGCTGTACCTTTGCTCCTTGACTGAAAAGATTCATGACAGTGCCTGTGATGATGATTATTAATTCTTAACCATAAAATTCACAGACATTTTACACCTCTCAATGAATCAGACTGACCACGCAAACAGATCAAAGCGGGACACCTGTGTAACTATGGTAACACTGAGCCCCACCTAGTGACAGCATATTCCCTGAGACCTCCATGGAGGCTGGTGGCGGAGAAGGTGCCGATACACCCTCGCAGACGCCGCTCGCGCCCTATCTTCCACGTCACAAACAAAGGGCTGAAACAAATAGAAGACAGGCATACAGAAACATTTACACAATCAGTGCATGAAGTCTCATTACAATCAGACCTTTAACACCTATCTGTGTCAAGATCTGACGACTCCATAGAAACTGCTGAAAATGACAAGATGCACAATATTATAAGGACTTTTATCAGTTACATTCTTAACTGGTTGCTCAAGTTCATTTTTACAGGGAATACAGGAACCAATTATGCAGCACATACTTTCTGATAATTAAGAAGACCTACTGCTGATCAGAAAGTTCACTTGATGTGGCCTCCTATAGATTGGTTGTCTGACTGGGTGTTCGATTCGCCACATGGGTACAATGTGCGAAGCCCATTTCTGGTTTCCCCTGTCTTGTTATTGCTGGAATATTGCTAAAAGCAGCGTAAAACTAAACACAATCACACAGGGACCATTAAATCCCGAGTATCAGTGGGTAAAGTAAAGCATAATTTTGGTGTGCTGAGTGCTGACATGTTAAACATGTGACACATTTACAAAGAGCAGCACCATCAGCAACTGACAGCCAGATGATCCTACATGTACAAATGACAGGTGCCACATGTGTCACAGCCTTACTGCTCTCCACTGCTGACACGCCAAAGCAGGGTTCACACCGAGTTCAGGCATAACAAGGATTTATTTGACTTGCATGAGTGATGCCACAGCCTATCAGAACTAAACAGCACAGGCACTGTATTAACAGTGTATTGCCACGTCATCATGGCTAATGGTTGAGTGAGTGAGTGAGTATGGTTTTACACCGCTTTTGGCAATATTCCAGCAATATCATGGCAGGGGGCACATTGTAACCATGTGGGGTATCAAACCTGGATCTTCGGTGTGACAAGCGAACACTTTTATCACTATTCTCTCTCCCCACACACACACACATGCACACGCACACACACACACACACACAAGGACAGCGAGTTGACAGCAGGGAGAGAAAGGGCCAAAAATATCTTTTGTAGTATTTACCTTGGCTCAACAAACTCTGAGTGAGTGAGTGAGTTGGCTTTTACACCGCCTTTAGCAACATCACGTCCTGGGACACCAGAAATGGGCTTCACATATTGTACCCACGTGGGGAATTGAACCTAGGCCTTCGGCATGACAAACGAACGCTTTTAACCACTAGGCTACTCCACCACCCCTAACAAACTCTGAGACAAACATTCAGATAAATATCACTCCCTTGGTTTCCTGATCACATAATTACATGCCAACCTTAATAAATCTAATTTCAAGTCTGATTATTTCATCTGCCACTGAGATGTAGGGGTAATCAAATGGTTACTGTGATTACAGCTGACTTGTCAGTCATTGTAAACACAGTTCAGAAAAGTTACAAAATTCATGTTACTGTACAGTTTGAGTTCGAGTTGAGGGTTTGAGTTTTTTACATGCATCCCGCTTTTCTTGTCCCTAGCATCAAATTCTGCATTCGAATAACATTCACAATAAACTGGTTACAAGGTTATCATTGCTTCAAAGAAAACCAAAGAAATGAATAATTAAAGAAAAATCCAAATATACCTGAAGAAGTTTCCAAGCTATATCCCACTGATTCCATATTTTCAAATATTGATTTACTTACCTCAACATGCTCAATATCCTACAAGAGACTATCACCATCAAAAATACACATCTATGACATAATCAATACCACATCCACTCCCTGACTTATGGATACAGAGCTTCTTCCGACATTGCTGAAGAGTAGAGCCATTGTCGAACAATTTCATTTCCACAATTTTGCTTAAATCTTTGATCATAACAGCTACAATCAAATCTTGTTAAGTGACAATTCAGGGGATTGAGCCAAGTGCTTTAGGAGGACCCATCACTTAAGTCTTTTGTTAGCCACAGAATATTTTTTTGGGCCACTGCTTCAAAAGACACAATTTTTTTCTGTAAAAAGAGGAGCTGGATTTTTTCTTCTTATAACAGGACATAATTTCCTCAGAAATGTATAAGGGCATTCTTGCTCAGAAACATGGTGAGGTTATTCAGATTCTTCAGGGATCAATGACTGTTCTGAAACATGGTAAGGTTATTCAGATTCTTCAGGGATCAATGACTGTTCTGAAACATGGTAAGGTTATTCAGATTCTTCAGGGATCAATGACTGTTCTGAAACATGGTAAGGTTATTCAGATTCTTTAGGGATCAATGACTGTTCTGAAACATGGTGAGGTTATTCAGATTCTTTAGGGATCAATGACTGTTCTGAAACATGGTGAGGTTATTCAGATTCTTTAGGGATCAATGACTGTTCTGAAACATGGTGAGGTTATTCAGATTCTTTAGGGACTGTTCTGATGGTGAGGTTATTCAGATTCTTTAGGGATCAATGACTGTTCTGAAACATGGTGAGGTTATTCAGATTCTTTTAGGGATCAATGACTGTTCTGAAACATGGTGAGGTTATTCAGATTCTTTAGGGATCAATGACTGTTCTGAAACATGGTGAGAGTTATTCAGATTCTTCAGGGATCAATGACTGTTCTGAAACATGGTTAGGTTATTCAGAAATTCTTCAGGGATCAATGACTGTTCTGAAACATGGTGAGGTTATTCAGATTCTTCAGGGATCAATGACTGTTCAGAAACATGGTGAGGTTATTCAGATTCTTCAGGGATCAATGACTGTTCTGAAACATGGTAAGGTTATTCAGATTCTTCAGGGATCAATGACTGTTCTGAAACATGGTGAGGTTATTCAGATTCTTCAGGGATCAATGACTGTTCTGAAACATGGTAAGGTTATTCAGATTCTTCAGGGATCAATGACTTTGGTAAGGTTATTCAATTCTTCAGGGATCAATGACTGTTCTGAAACATGGTAAGGTTATTCAGATTCTTTAGGGATCAATGACTGTTCTGAAACATGGTGAGGTTATTCAGATTCTTTAGGGATCAATGACTGTTCTGAAACATGGTAAGGTTATTCAGATCAATTGTTCTGAAACATGGTGAGGTTATTCAGATTCTTCAGGGATCAATGACTGTTCTGAAACATGGTGAGGTTATTCAGATTCTTCAGGGATCAATGACTGTTCTGAAACATGGTGAGGTTATTCAGATTCTTCAGGGATCAATGACTGTTCTGAAACATGGTGAGGTTATTCAGATTCTTTAGGGATCAATGACTGTTCTGAAACATGGTGAGGTTATTCAGATTCTTCAGGGATCAATGACTGTTCTGAAACATGGTGAGGTTATTCAGATTCTTCAGGGATCAATGACTGTTCTGAAACATGGTGAGGTTATTCAGATTCTTCAGGGATCAATGACTGTTCTGAAACATGGTCAGGTTATTCAGATTCTTCAGGGATCAATGACTGTTCTGAAATAACTTGCAATATGAAGCAAATAATTTTGGTCTGAAATTTTAAAAAGTCTGCTGATTGAGTTAAGTTCAAGTTGTTCTTGTGATATGTCTTGTGCTATGTCGTTGTGTACTACCTCTGTTACCAGTAGGTAGATGGCAACACTCAAGCAGATCATTTTTGTGGAATCAAAATACAACCCATCTACACAAGCATTGATGATGGATGAGCATTAAAATCACAAAAATGTAAGTCATCAATGTTGATATGAGAATTTCTATGAGTGAGAGGCTTAGAAACTCTACAAATGTTAACAGCTCTCTTCATCAAAATTGTATACAAATTCTCAACAAGTTAAACAGTCCATGTAAAATGACTCCAAGTATGTGATAAATATATTTAGTTTTCATGCAGTATAAAGTATAATATACATTTTTCCTGTTTTGAATTCTAAATCTGAATAACCATGAAGATGAATCCAGCATTAATTATACATTAGGTTTCAGTATTAATCACTAGAGTAACTTCCTTTGTTTAATTTTTCTATGCATTTCTTTGATCTGAGTTACCAGTTTCCTTCCATTATGACATCATTGCAACCGGACATTGTCTCTGTCTCACAGCTGTTTGAGATGAAATAAGAAAAACAACTGATTATTATTTTCCATTCATGGTGTCAACCTTTCCTTCCAGATTTGCACAAGTTACTGAGCATTTGATATTCCAAAATGCTTTGAAGAACTAATCATTGATGCGTTATGCTAGAGTTTATTTAAAGTAACCTACTGGCAAGCTGTGTTGAAAGGAACTCTACCTCTAGATTACTTGCAAGCCCACAGGATCAAACCCACAAATTAAGAATATTATTAATGCTATCATTGTTATCTTTGGAAATATATAAACCTGATACAACAAACATCAGCATATATATTAACAACAGACAGCTCACACTGTCAACTGATCCAATGTCTCAGCTGCTAATAGAAGACAACAGACTGGTTCTCCTGAGATATACTGGTTGGGCGTGATCAACCGATACCTCAGCAAACCTCAAGATTATAAACTCTGATTGACTCGTGTTGAAATGTTCACTCTCTAAACACACTAAGATTATACCTGTTATATGTCAATCAACACACTATGATTATACCTTCTATATGTCAATAAGAGAGACTGACCTACAAACAATTACAATGTTTCAAAACACAGTGAAATAAATGCTATTCCAGACAAACCAGGTAACCTAGTGCTTTGATTGGACACACCCAGTCTAGTAGCAGGATGCCGATAAAACACTGACATTGTAGTAGCAGGAGCTGGCTTGGCTATTAGTCAGCACTCACGATCACAACATCACCAGTACAACCATTTATACGCCCAACTTCCTAATGTAATTATCGTAATTTATACCATTAGTATTTCCCTCTCATGGAATAAAATATCACTTTATCATCTAAAGACCGCTCTAAGGCGTGGTAATGACATTACACTGCCAAAGGCTAATTTGCATATCACGTGATCAGATGTATCTCTTGTATATAAAGGGGCGGTGGGGTAGCCTAGTGGTTAAAGCGTTGGCTCGTCACGCCGAACCCGGGTTCGATTCCCCACATGGGCACAATGTGTTAAGCCCATTTCTGGTGTCCCCAGCCGAGATATTGTTGGAATATTGCTGGAATATTGCTAAAAGCGGGGAAAACTAAACTCAGTCAGTCAGTCTTGTATATAAACAAACATACCCGGTGGGGCCAGTACTCAAGAATCGATGCAGATTGGCCTAATGGAAGCCTTTCAATGTGTTTTGCATATTGTTCTGTATTACTATTAAGATATGCTAATATATAATATTGTCGGATCAGAGGTTATTGGTGAGTGTTCACTTGGGTTGTAACAAGGTTGGTTGGTTAGTTTATTGTTCAACACCACACTCAGCAATATTCCAGCTATATGGCATTGGTCTGTAAATAGTCGAGTCTGGACAAGACAATCCAGTGATCAACAGCATGAGCACCATGTAACAAAGGGAGTTGTGTGACACAGACATTGTAAACTACTGAATGCTGGCTAGTGTTCAGGATAAAGTTATCTTTTTATAAGTCAGTGACATGTTTTACAACAGTTCATGTGATAATCAACACAACAACAGATGTTCCTAACTGTCCGAAAACCCATAACACAAGGCTACATCTTTACACATAAAAAAGATCATATTGATAACTCTCCACTGACTTTGACAACAGCATGTGGTACAGGTACAAGGTTGATCACATGGAACTCTGGGTAGGAGTATGATCACATGACCTCATAGAGCCATTTTCACTTGAAAATAAGTTATCAGATCATGAGACAAACATGTCATTGGACCACATTGACAAGAAAAGATAAATAATATTTCTATTTGTAATATAATCAAATAATATTCTTTCAATGTTCCAACTGAAACTTGTTAACACTGGTTCACATGTCTAAGTGAAAAGACATAAATTGCAATGCATTCCATTGCATTTGATTGGCTAGCCATGCAATACTCCTTATGTTTGTTACCATAACCCAAATAGAGTAGGCGACACCCACTTGTTAACCCATGATTCGCTATCAAATCATCTAAAATGTGTTAAAGAATATAAAGAGAGTCTGTGAAGTCATCATTATTTATAAATGTATTCATAAGAAGTGACTTCAACATATTTCTGCATATATGGTGTAATAAATGCAAAAACCAGTGTGCTCACTTCAGTAAATATACAGTTGTGCAGTCTACTAAAACAATCATAACACAATAAGTTAGCATGGGTAATATGATTCCACAGGGAATCAGTTGCAGAATCAACCAAATATCATAAACATATTTCAACAAGACGAAATATTCTCCTATTATGGTATATAACATGTGCAAGGTTAAAAGGTTTGTACTGTGTAACTGTATATAATTATTCAAGTCAATATGTCATTTCAATGTCCACCTGGAACCATACCTCAGGATTGACATAAATGATTCTAAAACACACACTATGGAGAAGAAGATGGGTCAATAAAAAGATATCCAGCCTGCAACTCAACTTTGAAAATTTGTCAAATCAAGTAAACACATTACAAAAGTGCCTCATTCCTTGCTAAACTTCTCAGCAGACACTTTTATATATATGATATCTACTAAATTAATTATGCTGAACCTTTAATTCCATGGCAACCATGCATTAACCTACATTCCAAAAGAGCTTTATCATGACTGTATAAATGTTTTGGCACCACATGAGATCTACAAACAAATATATCATTTCATGGGTGAATTCCCGGTCAAAGGGTCAATGAGCTTAGCAGTATGCATATAGATTGGTCACCAACAGCTGATTCAGTATCTATAAATAGCACAAAGGAATATCACTGTTATGGTATACACACAGGAAGACTATTCCATTGGTTTAGAGAAATTAGAAGCTTCAAGATGAAACTGTTAGTTACATCTAAGCAGTACATTCACCATGTAATTCCTTCATCATGCTAAAATGGTAACAAGTGGATTTACTCAATCATTCATTAGACTGCAATTCCCACCACACCCAAGTCAAGTCACTGTATTTCCTTGCAGTCAAATTATTTGGACATTTTAAAGGCATGTCAGTATGCAACATTTACTAATTTTCACAAAATTGTTTACCAATGTGATTAGAATAATCAAATATCACAGATTCTATTATTTGTTTTGAATCCACTTTGACCTTTCTCACAAATTTCACACCTTCCGATATAAATGGATTCGCCCAGTTATCACCCCGAGTTGAGTGTCAACAAAGAGCGTATTGCTTTCAAATACACGACTGTGGCTAAATGTCCGCTAAAATAGTTACATAATTTCTATATGAATCTATTTAGTAAGAAAACGTAATAAGATTTTAACTTGTTACTAAAATTCACTCATCATTTCCACGATAAACAGGTACTAAACAACTGGTATAGGGCCATACTCACTATGAATCGTTGGTGAAAAGGGGAGCTTTCGGTTGTTCATAACTGTACAAATGACTATGAAGTACATCAAAACAGAAGTAACACATTTCTGGACTAGCAACTGTGTACCCATTTTTGTGGTAGTTCGGGTAGACGGCGGAGCAACTGTGTATCCATTTTTGTGGTAGTTCGGGTAGACGGCGGAGCCATTGCAACAAATGGAGGGAAGTGAATTGTTCAACTTCTGTTTCTTCACTCCACAACAGCTGGCCGCCATCTTCCCCCTGTGGTCTCGCGACATTTTAGTGTAGTCACGCGAGAAATAGATGAACCAGGATCCGTCTATATCGCAAATCTACACTTCGTATTCATGAACTAGATCCAGTTGACGTTCTAACCTTCATGTCTGTTTTAATATATCTCGGAGTACGTCCTACAACGGGGATATTGACGTTCATTTCCGATATTCTCCGAATGAAAGCGAAGCTTCCTTCCGGGCACATGGACTGTTAAAAAGCTACAAATGGCTTAATCAGAATATATTTTTGCGTCTTAGAGCTTACAGGACTTCGTCAATGCAAATCGAGTAAGCTAGTCCCAATTCAAGACGGATAAAAGTTATCGGAAAATGAATATTAATCAAGGAGGATAGGTTATTACCAATATTTTTCAAAAAACATCTTTACCCTTGCACGACCATGAGAGTTGAAAATGTCCTACGCTACAGTACCATGTTTTAGATGAAATCTCTTTTTCTCGACAAAGGTCATTGATCCCGTTGAATTATATTTATAACTCGGTTTCTAATGTTACTACTACGTGCACAATTATGTTTGGAGGTCCGACTAATGAATCTTCTTACGTCATATGATGTTACTTCAAGTTCTTTATTTTATCATGATAGAATGAAGGAGACGGTTGTATATTCCATTTATACCTTTTTGCAGATAAACTCCATGGGAAGTTTAAATTCATGCTTATGTAATTTTGAAATATAAACATCTCAATTTTCGAAATGTGTAACACTTTAACAAATCCAATGACAGTGTCAGTAGCTACATAGTAACAAACAATCTGTTTCAATTTATCGTACTTATGTAAGTGACAACTTATGTCTGTAAGAATATATGAGACTTGAAAACATACCAAAGGTTTTTAAGTGTGCATTCGAGCGAAAACCAAAATAATGAGGGTCAAAGTAATAAATTTGTAAATATTTCATTTGTTCAAATGGTCAGCATAGCTGTATTGTTGCCATAATGAGAAACTTTACGAGGTCATATTTTCTCAACTACATAGTTGAACCCAAATCTTTTCAAGACCATAGTAGGAACAAGCATTTGCATAAACAAAATTTCAACAATAATTAACACTCACAAAAATGATATAAAACTGATATGATGGCTTAGGTATATATGGTACCTAGATCAGCCGGTCATTTATTTTAAAACTTTTATATGTAAAGATACATAAATTTATTCTGTTTGAAAGCGTTTTTAAGAATCTTGTCTGAAACCACAACATGCAGGGATCTAGCTCTCTATAGAAAAGGATGTTTTTAATTTAATCATTTAAAGTGGGTACATTTACAAAACTTTCATCTCAGTAGTAGACAGGCATTGTTCAAACTGTTGTATCAGAACAACCACTGGAATGCGAGCGAGTTAAAATGTATTGTTGAGTCAGCAGTATTTCAGCCAAATCGATTACTGAAGTATACATAAACTATCTGTATATTATACTAGAAAACGTGTGAACAAAGGATGCTAAGGTGTCTGTTTGTGTTGACAGATAATGGCCCAGGTTCTGAACGGCGGTCATACAGCCACTGCCCAGTGTGTGGACGTCCAGGCCACAAAGTCACGGGTAGCGACCGGAGGTGAGAATGGTGAGTTGTGTCTGTGGTCCCTCTCATCGGGGGAACTCCTCGACAAATACGTCAAACCAGACACAGACTGCACCTCCGTTCTGTTCTCAAAGTCAAAACCAAACCTCCTGTATGCTGCATTTGGACAGGAAGTTCTGATATTTGACACAGATGCCGACTTTCAGATTCCCATTCACACTTTTCAATGCAACCAAGAGGAGATAAATCAGATTCAGATGGATGACAAAGAGGATTTTTTAGCTGCATGTGATGACTCTGGTGAAATTAAAGTCATCAATGTCAATGAAAGAAAAGTATTCAAAACCCTGCGTAATAAGCACACAAACATTTGCTCAACTCTTCATTTCCGACCAGGAAAGCCCTGGGACTTGTATAGTGGAGGATTGGATTGTAAACTGATACACTGGGACTTCGCGAAGTTGAAAGCCCTGAATCAGTTCAACATGCAGGAGATGCAGGTTACGAATGTGGATGCTTCAGCATATATGGTGAACCCACCGTTCGTTCACCATATCGACACGTCACCAAACGGGAAATATCTTGCGTGTGCACTGGAAAATGGCCAGATCGAAGTGTTTGATACGACTCGTAGACACATTCGAGAGATCTTCAGTCTCTATGCTCATGGTCAAGGGGTTTCTCAGGTGAGCTTCCTCAATGACGATGTGTTAGTGTCAGGTGGAAATGATTGTCAGATCTCGCTGTGGGACTTGAACAAATCAGAACAGTATCAACCACAGGAACAGCAGTTGGTGACCAACGGCCACGGAGCGGTCACCTTGGACACCAAAAATGCCACTATTTCAGAGCTTTGTAAAATACGATCTATCAACCACAGTGCTAAGATCAACTGGTTGAAACCGTACACAGTCTCGGGGCAGAATTTTGTTGCTGCTGCAGATCAGACATCACGCATCTCGCTGCTGTCATTAGTCTAGTGGAACAAACAGGCGACACTGGATCCCTCAACCAAACAAAGGCCTTTCGCAAGAGTTTGATTTACGTTTTCTTTTACAAAAGTATTTGAAGTATGGTGTTCTCAGATTGACTTCTTTAAGTAATGATCTGATGAATAGAAATAAGATAAGTGAAACTGTTAAATCAAGTCCCCAACTAACCAAATGTAACTTTTTTCAATGCATATATTGGTTTTAAGAAATAATATCGGCTTTAATAAAAGACATGTAAACTAATAAATATATACACTCAAAAGTGTGGGTTTTTTTCATTTTTCATTTGTTTAAATTTTGAGTCCATAAACTAAGTCATAGAACAAGAAATATTTTGGTTATCTGTGCCTGTATGAATTGTTACAACAACAGGCTTCCGATAGCCGTAGGTGCCTGTATGAATTGTTACAACAACAGGCTTCCGATAGCCGTAGGTGCCTGTATGAATTGTTACAACAACAGGCTTCCGATAGCCGTAGGTGCCTGTATGAATTGTTACAACAACAGTAGGTGCTTCCGATAGCCGTAGGTGCCTGTATGAATTGTTACAACAACAGGCTTCCGATAGCCGTAGGTTTCAGGTTGTAATCCGGTGAAAGTATTTATTACTCTCCATTTCTGAGCATTTTCATGAATAATTATGAAGCTTAAAAATAAACATGTTGTTACTATAATGGAATGAAAACGAAGTGTTTGAATAACATATGCCACTTGCAGCCTGCCAAGCACTTTTCCTTCTTTTGGTATTCTTGACGTAGGTCTCAGATTGTAATCCGGTGAAAGTTTTTATTACTCTCCATTTCTGAGCATTTTCATGAATAATTATGAAGCTTAAAAATAAACATGTTGTTACTATAATGGAATGAAACGGCGTTTAAATAACATATGCCACTTGCAGCCTGCCAAGCACTTTTCCTTCTTTTGGTATTCTTGACGTGGTAGTCTCAGATTGTAATCCGGTGAAAGGATTTATTACTCTCCATTTCTGAGCATTTTCATGAATAATTATGAAGCTTAAAAATAAACATGTTGTTACTATAATGGAATGAAAGCGAAGTGTTTGAATAACATATGCCACTTGCAGCCTGCCAAGCACTTTTCCTTCTTTTGGTATTCTTGACGTAGGTCTCAGATTGTAATCCGGTGAAAGTATTTATTACTCTCCATTTCTGAGCATTTTCATGAATAATTATGAAGCTTAAAAATAAACATGTTGTTACTATAATGGAATGAAAGCGAAGTGTTTGAATAACATATGCCACTTGCAGCCTGCCAAACACTTTTCCTTCTTTTGGCATTCTTGACAGTAGATTTTAGTTTCAGTGTATGGACAAACATGAACTGATGTGTTTATAACAAGAAACTTTATTAGACTCAGGCTTTGTCATGTACAGTGATTAGTGATAATGATAATGATGGTAAGCAGAGATCGACACAGTAAATTCTTATCTTTAGTTAGCTATGTTTTTGCTGTATTGTTAGCCTGAAGAAGCCTTAACCAGACCACCGTTGTCATGGTAATGAGTCAGCCATCAGTAATTTTATCAGATAGGGGCAATGGTGTAATTTCTTTATGTATACTTTTTGGTTTTTTTCTGCCAAATCTAAGCTGCCACATGAGTAAAACATCCATTGTTTTTCTACTTGCTGTTCATCTTCTGTTTCTCCAGGCTTTCATTTCTGTAGACCTACACTCACCCCTAGATCATACCCATGGTTCTCATGGTTTCAGATTACCCGCCCTTGATATTCATTTGCCCATTTGATTGGCTTCGCTGCTAGGTCTAACATAACGTTCTGAATCCATGTTACAAACCTGCCTGAATGTTTTTGTTGTTCTTTCAACAAGATGGCAGCCAATACCATCGATTGTGATCAAGTTTGCAAGAAATTGATATGGAAAGACTGACGTACATGAAAAAGAACCCCCTCTTAGAACGTTTTATGGAAGGATGTCTTTATGTCCTTTTAAACTGGCTGTGGTTGGTTGGATTGTTGTTTAACACCGCACTCAGCAATATATCAGCTATATGGCTGCGATCTGTAAATAATCGAGTCTGGACCAGACAATCCAGTGATCAACAGCTTGAGCATCGATCTACGCAGTTGCAATACAATGACATGTGTCAACCAAGCATGGGTTGCTGGAGACCAGTTCTAACCCAGGTCAAACTGGCTGTGTCTTTTGCTTCCCAGAAATATGAGTTACCTCCCTTATCCTTCCCATTATGTCAATGTTTGATTGGTAGGTAAAATGGGTAACTTACAGTCACCAGAACCACAGGTATGGATGCCGGGGTTAGTGCAGGTTTACCGAAATGCATTCCCTGACGATACAGTTTATGTTTGATTTACCAGAGCTCTGCTTCAGAAGTGACATCAACATTCCCTGTGAGCCTAGAACAACATCCTAGATTATCCGGGGGATTATGTCTTCATGCTGATATGATAGACACTACTCACAAGACGTTAGGATCATTGACTCTTTCACCATAGTTAATCTGTCCATAGTGTCTTCATCTTCGAGTACTCTGAGCCTTTTGCTATAGTATTATAGATTCATATTTGAAGTGATGTCACTATTTCTGCCTGCGTTTATGAAGATAAACTTGAAACAGTGTATGAAATAAGACCCGTCCGACCGCCCGAGATGGGTTAGATTTCAGACGGATGGTCTAGATTTACAGCTAGCCAGCCTGATGGTCTGGTAAAAAATTTAGATGTTAGATGCATCTGAGTCATATATTGGTGTCTGGTCTGGTTAAATCCATTTTGGACTGGTAACATTTTGAAGTTACCAGACCTGATGTCTGGCTGTTTTTTTGGCTTATTTCATACACTGCTTGAAACCAACCAAAATGCTTCTTTTGAATGCTAGTTCAAAATAGATACAACATATGCTATATTTGGGAATACAAAGCAAAGTGCAGTACTTTCGGGATTGTGTCCTATCTGGGATTCGAACCCACACCCGCAGAGTGAGGCAGCTAATCGCTAGCACATTTTACTACTTTATAAAAGGCATTGTGTATTCACAGCATAGATACTTTTTCAAACTTGCATGAACTTCCAATACATTTGTCAAGTTAGAAGACTGTTTTGCTGGAACATTTTCTTTGAACATGGAGACAAGAGATTTATTTGTACATGCTGCACTCATTCCAAGTTATGTTCAAAACATGATGCGAAATAGTCAATTACTAATGATACCTCTGCATTAATCACAAAAAAACCACTGATTTGATTGGCCAGCTATGTTTTTAATGTCATTCAAAAAGGACTCCCTCAAAAAGGTTTGTGTCCAGGCGATATGTGGTAATAACATTGAACTTAAAACACTGGACAATCCAAGATGGTGTTTCTGCACATGCAGTAGTTATTGTAAATTTTCTATTACAAAATGTACCTGTTTGCAGTATTTATGGTAACTACAAAATATCAGTATTTAAATTAAATATATCATCGGATTGTTTGTAACATCATTTTCGTGGTTTTATGTGATTGTATTTTACTCATGTTAAAGATGGGGAATGTTTTGTAATATATAATTTTTCAAGTTATCCCCAAACTGATACTTCATTTTAAGAATACAGAGTTTGTGAGGACGTTTTCAAAATAATCACCATTAATTTTGTTTTCCATGAAATGATTTAGGTGGTGAAGTGTAGAGGTGGGTTAAAATTGATCTAATAGTTATCTCCCTTTATATATGTGATATAAAGCACATAGTTGTCGATATGTATCTTCTCCATTGATATATCCGATATAGTGGATTGTAATTCTGAGTGTATACTTTAAGTTAGAAATTTGTGATTGTTCGTCCTTGAGGCGTGGTTTTGCTAATCAGTATATCGCGACTAAGTCAGTTGAACAATTTACTTATGATAACAGCAAATTGCTATAACTTCTCTGAGTGGCGTTTTAGAAGTTGGAAAGTACCAAATTGACAAACTTTGTGGAGGACAACTTATTCTATTTAGTTATGTGACGTTTTGATACAGATTCTTGTACCATTGTCAGGCAGGACTAAACATAAAGTTTGTCAAAATTAATATAAGTTGACTTTACTTTTGTGCTTGAGTTACTCAAACTTTTTTGCAATTGACTGCTTCAATTTAACATGAGTGTATATAATGTGCAAATATGTATTTGAAATTGCATGTGAATTAGTATATACTTCTCCTTTTGGTAGGTATAGTTCTTTCATGATACACAAAAATGGTTCTCCTAATATGTGAAGTGTGTATTTAAATATCTGTAACATCTCTGATTATCCCAATCAAAATTTGAGTAGTATAGTTTTAAACTTCTGTTGCTCTTAATATAAACTTTGTTTCACATCAGTAGTTAGTTATTAGGAAGTTTCTATTGTAGTACAGCAGAGATTTTCATATTTTATTTAACCTGTCTACCTATCGCATCACTATGTTAATGTGAATTTCTTGGCATTACACGTATGATGTTATACATCTAGAGCAATTGAAATAAGTCTTCGTTGTTTTAAAAGCTAGAATCTGGTTCCAGTTACATTATTCGGAACCAGTAGACTGGCAGAATTTCTCAGATGGACTTTTTCAGTTAAGAATATATGTATGTGAAGATCTTTTTAAGAAATGGGGAAATTAAGAAATGAAAGCGTACCAAAGGGCACTTTATTAAAAACAATTTCGCCATATACATGCCCTTCATGATGTATTGATACAAATCGGATCACAACATTTGTTCACTTAGCTACATCATATATTCTAATCGGCTGTCATGTGACTGGAATGTTGCTGAGAGTAGTGTAAAACAACCTTTTTAGTCTGATCATGTAATTGTGTTGTCTTCCAATGATGCTCATATTGAATTTGATATGGTCATGCAATTTTATACAGAAGGGTGTTATGATCCATGATGATTGTAAACAGAGCAAGCGATGTCTGTGGACAATTCGGTCTTGCAGTCTTACTGATTTGAAAAATCTAATTGAGATTTTATATGTTTAAATAACCAAACAAATGTTGTTAGGTGACTATACAGTGTGAACTAGATGTATTGTTGAACATTTGAAAATAAATTTGAAAAATTATGTAATATAAATCAAATTGTGGGGTTTTTCTGTGCTGAGATCCTGCTGACAGACGAGAGTGAGTGAATGGTTTTGTGCTGCAGCCAGCAGTAGCCATGCTGTGTCACAGCAGCCAAGGACACTCTCCATGATGGAGTGGACAGAGAGTCTGCCTAGAGAATAGAGGGTTTGTGGTTCAGTCCCCTGGCCAC